ATTAAAATGTAAAAACAGATCAAATAATGTATTTGTCGAAATGTTGCGATATTGTTTCATTTAAGTTCATAATTATTCTATACATGTTATTTAATTTAGCAGCATTACCACGAAGCACCGTGGTTCGATATTTATTTGAATAATAAAAAATAAATAAAAAAACTTAATTCACAAATTGCATGCCTAAGGATCCAAAGATCCCTGTAGAATTTAATATTGAGTTGAACATTTTGTTCATGACAACAAATTAACATGCGTTTTTTCAGATTATATTTAGTTTTGCTTGGAAAAAGCTGGCCCAAGCCAGTTTTATTTCATCAATTATTGAAATAATGAAATATTTAGTAATAAACTTTTATGACAGAAATATCACTAGGCTACATGTAACTTAAATCATTTAATTCCTTCATTATCAACACTGTCTAGAATAGCGATTTAAGTGTGAATTGCGACTTCTCTTTGTGTTAAGTCAGCCTCAGACTCCGATAGCCGGTGGGGGGTTACCATTTATACGCCAAAAATGTTTTTTGCCTCTATATGATACGCAGTTTTCGCGTGCATATGATACGCACTTTATGGCGTGTAATACGCACGCACTCCCCACCCCCCTCCCCCCTAAACCTACCCAAGGGGGTTTCAGTGCGTAGCATATGCACGCAAAAACCATTTTTGGCGTATAAATGGCACGAGAAATGACATTCGTGGTATAGATACGCACTTTCATGAGACTGTGTTGGGTTGGAGGGACAGTTCAGTGTATCGTGCGCGCAGGACAATAGGCCTGTTAATGTTCCTCTTTCATATGGAGAGTGTCGGATAACGCAGCAACATATACAGTATTATCAGCTGATGTGTTTTTACCCTGTCCCTGAAATGCTTAATTTAGAGAGAGACCCGGCGCGCGCAGCGAGGGAGACCAAATAGACTTGTTAAAAAGAAATTCAGCGCGAGAGAGGCAAAGAAAAACGCATGTTTTTAATTTAATTATGTTTCTTTGGACAATTTTCGTTTTGTACTGTTTTAATTGTTTAACATAGCTGTCATTTCTTTGGCAATACAAATTTAAAATGTCGCAAGAATAAGATTAGCCTAATGTTTCTTATTTTGCATCGCAAAAGAAATAAACTCTAAACCCGATGCAACCCTGTTTTAAATTTAAAAAAAACTGTCCCGACACTTTATTTAAACCTTGAAATGTTCGAACTTGGTTTCAAACTTAAGTAATTTTAGTGTTCTTTTACATTACACAATAATTTAGCAGACTAAAGACGAGCTTCTTCATTTTCATTTTCTGATGCAATCGGCTGACAATCTTCCTTCATCAGTTTTTGTCGTTTGTGCAGCGGCTGCGGACGGTTCTACAGGAATGTAGCCAATTTATGTTGTAATGATAATTGAACAAAACTCTTGACTTTAAATAAGTAAACAGTTAGCTATTTAAGCATCAAGGTGGTCAAATATAAAAGCTGTCGGCCAACATCGGTTAACAACATATATGCCACATTGAGATTCGATCTCGGGTCGCTTGAAGCTCCTCGAAGCTCATGTTATTGCATTGATCACTGAGCTACCGTCTGTACGCTGTTAAAACTAATGTCTTATGCTCTTGTAAAGCCTCATTGATGTATTCATTATGTTTTATGTTTTCATTATTTATTCAATTTCATTTCAGTAGCCTAATTTCAGTATTGTGATTATGAATTATTTTAACTACGTTTCACTTGTTGAATTCATCTGCTACCAGCTTTCAATCGCTCTGAATGAGCCGCAGATTACGCATTAGAGAGAATAAACGAACACTTTTCAGAGTCTATGATTGTAGCGCCTCTTAGTGGTAAAAGGCAGCAAATACACCCCACATTTTACCGCCGCGGTGGAACGGCTGATGTGGGCATTGTCATGGCTTGCCTCAACATTTGCGTTTGAATAGCGCGCGTCCTCCGTGGGCGTGTCAGATTAACGCGTAATGAAGTGTAATGAGCTGGGGGAAAAAATACTGAAATCACTCTCTTTTCATACAGATTACATAAACTGAGAATATTTGTTTTTTATATAAGTTACTTCATTGAAAAGAAGAGAATTCAAGCTTCATAAAGAAAAAATCTCTCGTGCCTGTATGACAAGTATTTGCAGAGTTATAGTTAATCTTAGGACGCGTTTCAGAATGGACTGCACTGACAGAGAGAACGCAGAACGCGCATCATGTTTATTTTTCTTTATTTGGCGAAAAGCACAACACTTTGTTTTTATTGTGAGGTTCCACAAAAAAAATACAAACTTAACAGGATCGAATGATGTATAACACTTAAAATCGTAAGATCAAAATCAACAAAGTAATTTGAGTCTCTTTTGCACTGATAAGGAAAAAAGTGAGCTGGTATCGCCGGCGAGACCGCCGACCCCAGAGAGTTAATTGGCAATAAAGGTTGTTGGAGTGTCTGTAATGAATGTGAACCTCCTGTTATCATGCTAATAAACGTCAAAATGCTTTTCTCTTCAGGGACTCATTTCCAGCGTGTGATCCCAGATGATGGACTCCCAGCTCAAAACCCCTCAGAGGTGAAGCGCATTGTCTTCTGTACAGGGAAAATCTATTACGAGCTCACACGTGAACGAAAATTACGCAACATGGAGAACTCTGTGGCTATCACTCGCATTGAGCAGGTACCATCATCTTCAGTAGAAAATCAACAGTGCTTGCTTGCCTGCATTCTTGCAGTAAAGGGCTATATATATTGTAAAACTGATTCACACTTTTTTGCACCTCCTCAGCTCTCTCCTTTCCCGTTTGACCTGGTGAAGGCTGAGACTGAGAAATATCCCAATGCTGACCTGGTCTGGTGTCAAGAGGAGCATAAGAACCAGGGATACTATGACTACGTCAAGCCCCGCATGCGCACCACCATTGAACGTGCCAAGCCTGTCTGGTAAACTCTCGTCTTCTCATATAGAGCTGTGACACTCCAGTTGCTCTATATTCTCACAAATCCTCACTGTGTCTTCCTGTGCACAGGTATGCTGGTCGTGAGCCTGCCGCTGCCCCAGCCACTGGCAACAAGAACACCCATCTTCTGGAGCTGAAGCGTTTCCTCGACACTGCCTTTAACCTGGACGCCTTCAAAGACCACATCTAAATCTGTCCTCCAATCAACAAAGAATACAAAAACTCACAAATACCCCATTCATCCTGACAACAAAATACACTACACAAAACCATTATAATCATCCCATGAATAATAGTAATACTGTTTCTCCTGTGTTAAGTATCAGGTATCTGAAATTTTCAGTTCATGTTCATTTTTTAAGTCTTTGTCACCATTGTTGCCCAGTTCAACAACACCAAATATAATAAACTACAGAAAATACAAATTCTCTTGCTTGAGCAAATAAATAAACAGCACAAATTTTAATGGACCTAATGTATTTTCAACCAAAGCACTGTTCCAATCCTATTAAGAACTTTCCCGTAGAGTAATCGGCATCTTTTGTCTCCAAACTCACTTTTTCCTAAGCTTTCATGTAGGGTTGTCATGATTTCTGTATTCTACTTGCATCTCAACTGCACTATGGCTTTAATTTTTATGTTTGTGTTTTCTTTTCTTTTTATTATTTTGTTAGAATAAGGGAGAATTTTGGCACATACATTTGCCGTGTTTCATTAGTGGTAAAGATTGTAAAGTAAGTGGAAAAAAGGACACTTTATCTGTACTTTTGCACTGTTTTCTGGTAAGACAAAAAAACAGTTGGTTCTCTAAAAGTGGATGTTGCAGTTGTATGATTGTATTTATGTAAAAATGAATTTGTATTCAGGGGAGGAAAGGCTTGATGTCAAAATCAGGACAGTGTGGAAAATTCTTTGCGGCACCTTTACATGTACAGTATGTGCCTCTGTTCTCATCCAGTATCATCTATAGATTGCATTGTATACTCTGCACACTTGGCTAATCATTGATGCTGCCTAGTGCAGCTAAAACTCCCTTCATAACCATCCTAGCCATCTGATAACTGATAACTTGTGCCATACAGCCCAGCCCAGCAGCAGGAACATTTCAAATGGAAAGCAAGACAGAATTACACATTTGTGGTCGCTCTTTTAAATAAAAACCAATGACATCTTTTTGGCTTTTTCGAAGAGAAAGCAAATGATTTTATTTATTGTTTTTTGAGGAATCAGGTTGTTCTTGTAATGGTTTAGCTTCATACAATAAACTCATAATCTTCTCAAATATCTGAAGTTGATCATTTAATACTAGTTATAAAAAACTGGATTGTGTGTAATGACCAATGGCATGAAATTTGTTTGAGGATGATAACCTATGCTAATATAATCTAGATCAGTGGTTCTAAACCAGGGGACAAGAACCCACTAGGGGGGCTCAGCCTTTTAATATTGTGTTGAACTCAGTCAAAAAGCCTGAAGAAGAATACAATACAAATATATATAGTGTATACCATACATAGAGAGAGGGCAGAGTTTAGCTCCAAACCTAACTAAACGCATCCTGATCCAGCTAATCAAGTTAGTTAATTAAGCTAATTCGGGGTTATTTGAAAACTACAGATATTCGTGTTGGAGCAGGGTTGGAACTAAACACTGCAGGGCTGAAGTTTTAAAATATCACCCCAAGCCTAAATTGGTCGCATTTCATGTTAACAGCAGCAAAAACACACGCCATGCCGCGAGATAGGTCTAACTGCAGAACCGCAGAACAGCGGTGTGAGGACGACAGCGACAGCCTAAACAGTCGCTTTGAAACTAAAATTGGATATTGATTTAACATTGGGTGATGTAATTTATTATTTTTCGCATTGTAATCATAAAATAGAAAATATAGGAAATATTTTTATTTTATTGGCAAAATATTTCATTCATAAATGCAAATACTCTTTAAGAGTACCCAAATTAAATATTTTTCTCTGTGACTTCAATTATTTTATTAAGACACTAAAAAGAATGAATAACAAAAAAAGTGCCAAATTTGTGAAAATGTATGATAATATGTTGAGTGATATGTAATTTAATTTACTTCCTCTGTTTTTTTGTTGTTGTTTTTTCTTGTTTGTTTTTTTTATCTCTACTGTACTTCATATTCAAATTGATTGTACTGTCTCCTTTACTCATGCTGTCATCTGTTGTTATCTGATCGTTCTTATGTCAATAAAAAAAACACAGAAAAAAACATGCCCAAAAGCGCAAGTCGATTGTAAATTCTCCATAAAGATATTTCATTGGTTCATATTTGTGTCTTTCAAAGCATCGACACGCTCTGATTGGACAGATGCAGCTTCGTGACGTCCCTCTCCTGTAATTATATAGCTTAGCGGCCTGAATGCGGTCTTTCCTCCTTTCCAAGGCAAGCCAGTGACACGCGGTTAGCGCGCTTCAGCCCAGCATCATCTAAGCGCAAAATATTCTAAAGCCATGGCAAGGCCTAGAGTTTTCTTCGATATGACCGCCAACGGCAACCCAGTTGGAAGAGTGATTATGGAGGTAAAGTTCCACGCAATAATTTCACCTTCGCCTTATTGCAAGAAATAACTCCCTGACATTTTTCCTGCAAGTCGTGCTAACGCCTTTCTTGAGCGGATCTCATCGATAGCCGCATACGCTAGGCTACTGTATGAAATGTGCACTTAAACCCTGCTGTGCTGCATAACTTTAATATCCTTGTACCGTTTAAGTGTTTTGCATTTTTGCTAAACAAATCTCATGATTCAGTTATGCTTAACCTGTTTTTGCAATTACCCGGCAAACCCATGTAGAACCATTAACCTAACGATGTTACACTTTCGCCCAAAACTGCTTGCTGATTATATTTCTATTTTAAGCCCATGTTAAAATTTGCGGCATTGTGGTGCAGCGTACAGCGGTTATGTTTGGAATCTGGCAGCATGAAGGGTTTTAATGTTAGACTTCATCAGTAGTCGGACTTAAAAATGTTCTTTTCCATAGTGACGCTTTGAGGTAGTTATTTATTTGCATAAAACTCATGTTATATCGCTTTGCAAGTGAAGCTGCAATACTAAGCACGCGCCGCACTAGGCCGCTTTAACCCCACTTGGTGCTGCTTGTACAGCTTATATTCTTTAATGCTGCCGAAAAAGGTTACTTACAGAATAACTTATTTCTCATACGAAGAGTATAACATAATGAACAGAAACCGTGTGGTTTCAGCGCTTGTTTTGGGAAAAACTTCAGAAATATGTAACGCAAGAGTATGCATTGAATGAATGGGCCGCTGCTCTTTTGTTTAACCCGGATTCCCTGAAGGCGACTTTATTTTGCTCAGTCCAAACTTCAGGTTTACACCCCAGGGGAACTCAAACAATTGCGACAAAAAAAAGTTTCGGCTTTAGTAAGTGATTTATAAAAATGTGCAAATCCCCTTCCTGCGGGACTCGCATCCTGCAATCTCTGTGGAAAGATGTTCTGGAAAGTTCGCCGGAGTGTGAGGGGACCGTCCTCGCGGCCCAGCGGAGATTTCCATACACTAGTCGCTAGACTCTTTTTATTTTAATTACCGGCGGTTTCTTTCCTTTATGCAGTTGTACTTTTGAGTTTAACTAATATTAAAGTTAAATTGGATGAGGGGAATTTAAAGAACGCAGTGTTTTCACACTCAATTCCTTGCGTTAGTAAAAGTGTTTTCTGAGCGGCCATTTTAGTTCTAGTCTAGTAAAACTTGAAGTGTCACAGACGCGCGTGGTTAGGATTTATTATGAGCACTCAAAGATGTACTGTTACTACAATTTATGCGAGTCTTCCGCATTGTTTCGGTTTTGTCAGGCTGCAGTGCGGTCGTATGAAGATGGTCCACACGAGCTTGTTTCTAGTTTGTTGCATTTACTGTATGACGTAGTCACGTACTTGAACACATTATTGCAGTCATTCTCAATGTAAATTTTTGTTTAATGTTTAAAATTGTTTTGTTTTTTTACAGCTGAGAGCTGATGTCGTCCCCAAAACTGCAGGTATTTATATATATTTATTACTTTTTCCCTGTGTGTTTTTTTTAAGTACCCATCACCTGTCTGTCATTTTGCAGAGAACTTCAGGCAGTTGTGCACAGGTCAGCCTGGCTTTGGCTACAAAGGATCCACCTTCCATCGTGTCATTCCCGGCTTTATGTGCCAGGTATTAAAGTTAGTCCCAAAAGCGTTCTGTGATCTTAGTAGTTTTTTGATGTTTGGTTCTAATCTTGAGACCTTTGAATACAGGCAGGTGACTTCACGAACCATAATGGAACTGGTGGCAAGTCCATTTATGGCAACAAGTTTGAAGATGAGAACTTTACACTGAAACACACTGGTCCTGGCTGCCTGTCCATGGCCAATGCTGGCCCCAACACCAACGGTTCCCAGTTCTTCATCTGCACAGATCGTACTTCATGGTGAGCAAAAGAATCGTGAATGACCATGCATTAAATCACTCCTGGATCCATGCTGTGGAGTGTCCTGACCTTTTCCCCTTACTATGTCTTTCCGCCAGGCTGGACGGTAAGCATGTTGTCTTCGGACAGGTTGAGGAGGGCATGGAGGTCATCAGGAAAGTGGAGGGCTATGGTTCTAGCAGTGGAAAGACCAGTGCCAAGATTGTCATTGCTAACTGTGGCCAGCTGTAAACGCCTCTACCACTAACATTCACCCAAACCCTAGTCTAGTCCCCCTCAGTGCTCTTTCTTAAATCCTGCCGCTAACCGCAACATTCCTATCAAAGTTCTGCAACCCCCCCCCCCCTTCAGTCGTCCATCCAAGTTCTGCAACCCCCCCCCCCTTCAGTCGTCCATTTTTGTCTGAGTTGCCTTTTGTTTTCATTTGCAGATGAAGTCCTGTAGGCCTTTAATTTGTATCAAAGTCTGAAAATAAAGGGGAACGATGTTAAACTTGTACCTCTTTCAATTTCTCATTTTTGCTTGAGACTTATTTGTCTATTGTTGCTTCAGATTAATATGCAAGCCAACTTAAAAAGCCAGATCAAAATCAAAGAGCTCACTTATCAACTTTTCTGATCCAGCTCATAAATCTAGTAATTGGTGAAGAAATTTAGTTAGGAGTACAGCTCTAACTGAAGAATTCGGTGTTGAGTTAACAGACTTTCTCCCCAGGGAAATTTTAACTCTGTTCTTCAAACAACGCCATTTGGCATTAAAGGGGTGAATATACCACGTGGTGTATATGTATAAAAAGAGCCATGGTCACTATAAATGTTTGCTGAATGGAAGAGACCTGCTAGAATATTAACTTGTTTTTGGGTGAACCATTCATTGAAGCTTTATATTTTATTCAATATTTTGGCCTTCACTTGCAAAACCTCAGCATTTTACCAAGAAATTTGGTGTGTTCCCTCAAGTTACTTTGCATTTCTTTGCAAAAGCTTTGGAATTGCAAAGTTTCTTGGTGGAATGCAATACTTTTGCAAGAGGTTTCAAAATCATTGAAATATAAATTTCCCTCCCATATTATTTTTTTTTTTTTTTATGTCACCGTAGTACCTACTATTGTGACCTGTGTCTGTGACGTCTTGAGCAAGGGGCAAAATATAGGGTGGGACTTTATTTATTCCATTGGAAATTGATTGGACCATGTTGTCATTTGCTAATTGCTGTGTGTGTGTGACAGGTTGCTGTAGGGGATAGATTATTGTCCCACTCCCACCGGTGCACATGCCACCAGAGAAGAGATGTTGGGAGGAAAACAAGGGAACATTATTATTTAAATGTGCATTTTTTTTTTTATTAGTTATAAATGCTGCAATATTCCATAAAAATAGTCTCTTGATTTCATGATGACTTTGTGGATGTAACCTGATCCTTTATTTCTTATAAAGATATGATTAAAATTATGCTGAATGACACTGCATTTAATAAGTAATGATCACGGCTGGCCTGGCAATTGTGAAATCTTAGCTGTGTGAACATCCAATGCCAAAGTAAAGTGACCATTTAATATGTAATAATCACCAGAGCTTGCTTAGCCATATCAAGGCAAATGCATGTTTGTCATTGTGTTGCATTTTTCTTTAGTGCATATACATAGATTTTTAGTTAGATGGATTCAAAATGACATTATTAAGGACCTTCAAAATGTTTTGACTTCATCTGCTGATTCAAATAGTAAAGATGGATTCAAAATGACATTATTAAGGACCTTCAAAATGTTTTGACTTCATCTGCTGATTCAAATAGTAAAGGACTACGCATCGTTGAATAATGTTTAAGTACATTAGGAATTTATAAAAAAAAATCAGTAGGAGTGGGTTAGATTTGTACATTTCTCAAACCTGCTCATGGAGGCCATTCAACAATCTACAATCTTTCTCCCTTATGTTTAATTCAGTTCATCAGCCCATTCGGTGAGTGCTCCATGACCTGAAATGAGCTGCTCTCTATTCTCTAGTATTGTATGCTCTCAATATTCAAGCAAGCAATGGTGTCAGGTCCGGCTCAGCACAACACCGGTAACAAAAATATAGTTGTAATTGCTGTAAAAATGCTTTTATGCCACCTCTGAACTACAATAAACAGTGTGTAAAGACATCTGAATGCCACTTCAGAAGCACTTTAGTGTAAATTTGGCAAAAGACACAGGAGAGGTGCAGTACTGATAGACTTCCAGGAGGAGTGTTCGGAAACGCCACGGACGAAGACAAGACTCAGCATACCTATTCACCCGACAGAGGGCGCTCGAGGCTCGGCTCAAACTTTTGTACAGATTTAAAGGCACAGGAAAAGAAAACCAAAGCCACATTGTGCACTGTCTTCAGCGTGTTTGCGTTATTCTCTTTTTTTTTCCTTTTTTACTTCTACACATTTTAAAAGCAAATTATTTAGTAATAATTACTTTAGTAATTTGACCTCGTAATGATTGCTTCAAAAAAAATTGAACATATCCCCGTGTCCGTTATGTAACGTTATCTCGCTAAATTCTCATTCAGAACACGTAATATTAAAAAGTTCAGAAAAGTAGTATTTCACGCAACGTTCCATAGATGTCTGTGAAGAACCAGTCCCTTTAGGACCTCTGATCGGGATGGCACACTCCCTGTCCGCGAGGGCCGTCGGGTTGCGCGCGGCAGGACAGGCTCTTCTCGCAGTCGCAGCGGTCCAGTCTCCGGCGGAATTTGGCGCGTCCCCGCAGCAGGCAGACCTCGCCCAGAGCGGGCACGCGCTGACACCTCCTGCCAGTCAAATACAAGGCGCAGCACAGACCCTCCTCACAGTCGCGCGAGCGCACGCACGGGGACATCTCGGGCACTGCAGGCAAAATAATTCAATATATAATTAGGGGCAGTAAGGAAACTAAATGAATCACCGCGGTCAAACCAAGAAGATTTTAAGCTTTTCTATTTTTTTAATGCTTTGAACAACAAAACAATACCACAATACAACATAGGCTATAGAATATTTTAGAGCCAGGGGACCATGGAAGTGAAAAAAAGATACACAGGGAGGAGACTTATGCTTTCTGTACACCTAAAGACTTTGAAAAGATTTAAAAAAGACTTTATGAGATTATCAGCTCACATCTAAAGACTTGGGTTCACAGTTTTTAGTCTCAGACTAAAGATTTTACAAACACTGAATCTTGTAGTGACACTATTTAAAGGACTACAACTAGATTATTTTAGCTTTTTATTCCCACCAAATTCCTCCCATCATGCTCAGCAGTGATTTAACAAAAATGGAGGAGAAGCAGCTATAGTTAGCTACTGTATCACATTATGTTGTATGATCCAAAATATGTCTGAAGGTAGGCCTAAAGTGGTGGTGGTATATAAGATAAGATAGACCTGACATTCCCACAATGGGGAATTTCTCAGTGTTGCAGCAGCACAGTGGATAGTAAAAAAAAAAAAATATATATATATATATATATATAATGTAAACAATATATACAATGAATAAACAGTGCAGTGATAGTGTTCTGCAGGGGGTGGGAGTCACTGTCCAAATTATGTGATTATCATCATTAAATAATAATAAAAATAATAATAAATTATCATTATTATTAAATTATATAAAGGCAACCATATATGAAAAAATAGGACACCATGAAAGCCTGTCTATTTTTCAACATAAGGACATGTAATAACAATTTTAACAATACTGAAGGACCCAGTGATTTAACTAAACTATTTAAAAATAAGGAAGGCCTTTTTAAGACTCTCTGTGAAATGTAATTTTAAAAGAATGCAATTTTTGAGGAGGAATAAATTAGGACACCCCCATATATTTCCCCCACACTGCTTATGAGTGTGGAAAAGGATTTAAAAAGATGCATATTTTAAAGGACTTTGACATCAGCCATTCCACCATTTTATCTCACTGAATTAATTTCAACAAAGGGGGGTATCACTAGTTATAAGGGATCCTAATTTTTTCCTCCATTAAAATAGGCATTTTTATGGATATTTTTTGTTTGATGAGTAATTTTTTTTAAATTTATATTGTTTAATTACAATAAATCACATTCTTTTCCAGGAATGAAAAAAAAAATCAAATTAGACCTTGTTATGTGAACATTTCTTAATAAAGAGTTGACTATTTAATGGGATGACAAGCTCGACAAGGCGCTCCTCTTTATCCACGGTCCATTTTCGCCTACTTGGCGCTCGTTGTGTTTCCACGTCCGTCGACATGTTTCTTTGTTGTGACTGATGGCTTTCTGTTTCCTGTTTTCTGAGAACGATTTCATTGGTTGTTGATTGTTTTACGTCACTATGACTATGCTAGGACTTGCGATAATATCAAACATGTTTGATATGAAAGACTAGAGAAAGACTGGCATAAATCGGGTCGCCGACTGCAGATTATCACCTCACATTTAACGATCGAGACGACGGGAGCGCGCCGAGACTCCAGTAAGATTCCTAAAAACGGCCGGTCTTTAGTCTGAGACTGTGAAAATCCTTTGGTGTACGCCCGGCATAACTGTAAGATCCCAGTAGGATTTTTTTTCTTCTAATTGAAATCGGCCGCTTGGCCGATGTGACTTTTATTTTGAAAGCGTTGAAGAACGCCTGCGTTACAATCATGGTTCCTCTCCAAATTTTCATGCCCTTCACTCCTAACTTCCCTCCATCTCGTGGACTCGGATGTGCGGCATTGCTATGTTGCACGAATGCCCACTACTGGCGGAACTTGTGCATAAGGTTTAAATGAAACACTAATGGCGAGTTCAGACTGCACGATTTTAGCCCCGATTTTGGCTCGCCGACAGGTTTTGAGAAATCGCCGACAAATGCCCGAAATCACAGGCAAATCGGTGCTCGTTCACGCGAGTGACAATCACGCAGTGTGAATGAGCAAAGACGCGATCTGAGAGAATCGCCGACGAGTCGCCGACGCCCGTGAGATATTTGGCATGCTAAATATCTGGACCTGTCGGCGATTCACAATCCTGCTGTGTGAATGTACATCGGCGATGACCGACAGCCAATGAGAGAGCAAGATACAGGGAGGAGGAGGAGGAGTTATAATATCAGTATTTTAATAGAAAGGCCTATATTTACAATTATATCAAACAAAAACAAAGCACAAACATTTGCCTGACCAGCAGCAACAGCAGGACATTTGCAAAATTATTTATTTACCCCCAACTCTCTTTGCAAAACACAGTCCTTGCTCCCCTCGTCTTCCCAACCATTTCCTGCATAAACTGTTTATTATTATTTTTTTCATTTTCGCTACAAATCAGTGCACAGACAATTTGTAGGCTATCATTTTTAATAACAAATTCAGTGTCGTGCGAGAACTCCGGTCTCACGCACGCGTGATCTCCTGTTATTTCCTATCACTTCTCGCGTTTGTTTGGTTGTGAAACGTAGTTTGCGGACCAGGCAGAAGTTGTCGGCGATTCTTTCTTTTGTAAAGTCATGCAGTGTGAAACCTCCTGTCGCCGATCCATCGTGCAGTGTGAACACAGCAGCAACTGAATGTTACCCCAGATAGTCATGCAGTGTGAAAACAACAGTGACCCGATTATTTTGAAAATCGTGCAGTCTGAACTCGGCATTAGCCCCTGCTAGATCACTTGGAATTCACTATGGAGCTGTTTTATTATTTAAACCCCTCTTTTACTCATGAATTTGTTTTATGCACCATTCTATATGCACATAAGTTGTTGAAGAAAATATATAAAATCCTATTGCTGAAAAATAACCCAGAAAGTGTTGGCCCAGATCCGGCCCACATCTGCTACACGTGGATTCCACATGGCCCAGTTGTGGGCCGGGTCTTGGTCGACACTATTGGCGCTTTTCCACTACACAGTACCAGCTCGCCTCGGCTCGGCTCGGCTCGACTCGACTCGCCTTTGTTTGGTTTTCCACTGTGTAAAAGTTGTACCTGTACCTGCTTTCGGGTACTTTTTTTCGTACCACCTCCGGCGAGGTTGAGCTGAGCTAAGGCGATACTAAAATGTAACGTGAAAACAATGCCGACTGCTGATTGGTCAGAGAGAATCGTCACTATTCACTGCGTCATCATTGCACGCGCCAGATGGAGTATCCAGAATAACCTCGCCATTTTTAAATAGTTTGGCCAGAGATAGTTACTAAACTTACTACTATTATTATGGCAACTCGGAAGAATACGCCGTGGTCAAACGAGGAGGTGCAGACATTCCTTTGTTTAGTTGCCGAAGAGAGGATCCAGCGAGAGCTTGGATGGGGCAACGAGGAACGAAAGGCGTCGCTATGACGACCGGGTACTGTTTGTGGCGGTACTTTCTGCAATGGAAAACGGAGTGAAAAGCGAGCCGAGTCGAGGCGAGCCAAGGCGAGTCGAGTCGAGCTGGTACTGGTAATGGAAAAGCGCCATATGTTGCTGTATGGGAAAATGACACAAATGAAAAAAGAAATCAAAAGTATAAACTTTGACTGTGATTATAAGGTAGCTACACGTATTATGCGATTAAATCTAAACATAATTAATATATTATGCACTAGCTATTATGCCATTAATTCTCCAAATAATTAATATATCAAAGTACAACGTTTTGCTGTTATTTTGAAGATACACAAATAAAAATAGACCCTTTACCATTTTGAATGATGCCTTACTCTTATCTGAAAGAGTATTTTAAGTTGTTGATATGATCCAAGCTATCGCTCCGGCGCCTCATGCCCACACACACAACATATCAGTTCTTCTCACTTTGCTAACATGACATGACATCGCAGCCTCTTATGAGAAAACTAAACATGAAAAAGTTGTTACTCAATTTAATTTGCCTGTACAATATGTAGGCTGTGTCGCTCAGCATGAGCATGCAGTGGTGTTATTTCAAACACATTTTGCAAGCGACACATTACATTTTGCATGTGACGGATGCTATTTTGAGTGGAGATTGGGACACGAAAAGTACTAATCCTTCTTTACATGATAAATAATAGTTTAGCAACCAAATATTACACTGTGACTCATGCTGAATGAGAGATACACGAGCAGTTTAAGTTTCTCTTTAAATAAGTTTGTTATAATCTTGGCTTTTAAAATTGGCCTAAATGTTGTTTGTAATGAATGGCACTATAATTTATTTTTATTTTGCACATATTTATATATTTTTTTCTGTTTTGAATAGGGATTCAATTGAAAGGATTTAGAGTGAGGGGAAGTAAAATACATGTTTACAGTGTTTAGAGTTTGTTAACATTTCATTTTATTTACATTATTTCTGAATCTAATAATAAAATGTGACTTACACTTATGGAAAATACATTAAATAATGAAATTGAGCTGTTGCTTGTTATTAAAAAGTACATTTACAATGGGGCCGTTTGCACCAATAAATCCTTAACTTTGGGTTTAATCACCGTTATAATTATGAACGGGTCCTTGGAAAATGTTCTACCCCAGGGGTCCCTGATTCCAAAAAGTGTGAAAACCCCTGCTCTTGCCTACTTGAATCCTTGATTTAAAGCTATGCTGCGCTATATCCAGTTGGTCGCTATGTTGTATGAAAAATGACATAATTACAATTACCGGAAAATTAGCGCTGCTTTGTCTTTATTTGAAATAATATTATTCCCAGTGCATACAGTATATTTACTAATAGCCTATAATAGGATTAGCCTACAGAATCAAGAAGTTACATTTTTTATCGAGTTCAAATATTTTTTTCATCTTAATTTTTGAATGATTAATTTCTAATTTAGTAAATATTATGTAAAATAAAATATTTAATTTCAGCAATTGTTGTGCGTGTTTGTACTATCTTTTAAATGGTGTGATATCGGCCATCATGCCCTCTACGATATCAAAAAATATACCCTCGGCCATCAAAAAATTATTTATTTTCTATTCTTTCTTTCCGCCTATTATTTGGGATATTTTGGTAACACTTTACAATAAGGTTCATTAGTTAACATTAGTTAATGTATTAACTAACCTGACCTAACCATGAACAATACATTTGTTACTGTATGTGTTAATTTTTGTTAACGTTAGTTAATAAAAATACAGCTGTTCATTGTTTGTTAATTTTAGTTCACAGTGCATTAACTAATGTTAACAATATTCTAATAAAGTATTAGTAAATGTTGAAATTAACATTAACAAAGATTAATAAAGGCTGTGCAGTTTCATTATTACTTCATACTAATTAATGTAGTAAACTAATGTTAACTAATGAACCTTATTGTAAAGTGTTATCACATTTTTTTAAATGTCAAACTTAATATGAAAATTGAGAACCATAGCATTGTTCTAGTTTATCAATGCACTCTTCGGAACTGTTCATTTTGAGTTAACAGTTTAATCATTTGTCTTTTTAACCTCAGTTGCACTGTAGATATATAACTTTACTGTAGATACAGCCTGTTGCGCTGATGCGAAGAGTTTTTACAGAAATATTATGTCTGTCCTGAACTGAAAATGTCTAATAGTAATCAATACCTGACCAAAAGTATAATCAAAAACATGACTTAGTTGTGATAACTTAATTATATGTGATAACTAAGTTATCACAAAAAAAAAAAAAAAAAAGAATAAATAAATCTCTCTCCTCACCTTTTTGACTTCCTCGCCCATCCAACTGAATCTTTGTCTTGGCAGCATTTTGCTGTTTTTTCTTGGAGCCTTTGCATTCAGGTGCCTTGAGAAAGACAATCATTTTAATCAGCCTTTCATTTCTGAAAGAATGTCCATTTAATGAACTTGAATATGCTGACAGAAATTTGGGATTTTAAGTTTGATATATCAATGATATTAAGCTATCCAAATGAGGCACGGTCAGACATAACTGACCGTATAGTGTATAAACAATATAGTGTTGAATCAAATTGGAAGGAATATCTTACTTGTGAAGCGGTGCATTCTTGTGAAGCTTCTCTGATTCCTTGGAGACCTGAGGTTCTTCTAACAGAATTATGGGAATTTGCCACTGTGTCACTCCGTAAATGCAATATTGACTGGAAGAGATTGTTGAGCTCATGTCAAACAGACTTTAACAAAAGCAATTAAAAGTTTTGAAAGTGCAAACAAGTAATGACAATAAGCATAGAAACCTTCCTTTATGACACTAATAGCTTTGTGTGTTCATTAGTTGTATGATATTGTTCCAACGTAAACATATGAAGGCACATAAAAACGTTTTAAGGGTTTAAGAATGTATATTCTTACCTCTTGAGAGTTTGTCATTTCCCTGGAGGAGTGGATAATGTTGGAATCCAGGCACTGTACTGCAGAAATAACAGACAGCCAAAACATAGCAATAATTGTCTGCATTGTTGAATCAAAACGGTCCTGACCACAATGAGCCTGTGTGCAAGAGCAAGACCTTGAGCTCTAGTGTGGAAGAGCAACCTCTCCTGTGTTTTAATGGACCTACGGCAATTACCCAAATTAAACGTTGAGGGGGAAAAAAGAAGAGAAGAAAGGAAGGGTCTTTCATTAGTGGTTAGTTTCTGAGTGTTCTAATGTTTATAGTCTCAGCTCATGTAGGAAGTGTGTAGTGCATTGCAGTGGCAATTAAGGCAAATTATGGCCCGTACGCATAACAAACATGAAAGCTTGGATGTACCTTTCATGGCACGTGAATCCACATAGACCCTTTACACATGTAACACCTTTGAAACTTGTTGATGAAAAATTTGACATCCTTTAAATGACAGCCATCATGTAACCGCATCAGTAGACTCGGATGTAAGTTGCTTCCTGCAACGGAACAGGTGATTATCTACACCTTGAATGCTGGCTTAGGGGGGGGGGGGGATCATGGAAACAAAATCCATGTTTCTCACCGGACTAGGAGGTAGATGATAATAACAGTGCCGATCTGAATATGTTTAGTCACTAAATAAAAATGTCTTGTTCAGCTAAAACATTTATGTCATGTCAACTACAGATTTATTGTTCAACAAATTATCAATTAGTAACAAGTTGCTTTAATTTGTCATAACCTAATTCTTACATACAGCTTTACATGACTCACCTGTTTATCTACCTATCTGTGTCTGTCCGTCTTTCCCTCTGTCTGTCTATCTGTGTATGTCTTTCTGTCTGTCCGGTGACTTGAAACAAAAAACAACAACTATGACCAAATTTATTAAATACACTAAATAGAACTAAACATTATTCATTCCGAATAACAAATATACAAATATGTCCTCATAATGGTTTAACCAAAGGACATTTTTTCTGTAGTTCAATCAACATTTAAAATACAATTTGTCTGAATTTGTTTAATTTTTGTTTTACATTGTATGTCTATCTTTTTCTTTTCTTTTTTCTTTTTTACTTTTCCAAGACACTTTACCTATATTCCTACACTATTACTGCTATCCAATCCAAGCATTACATTTTAAACCAATAATACAATTCCCTTTCAGTATATTAAATGATTCCTGTTAAAACCGGTTGTATGTTATAGGAACCAAATGTTCCCACAAGGATAGTAATACCATTAATTTTTGACCTTGTGGTGTGGGGACATCTTTTAGTTTTTTGGTCACCATGAGGAAAACAGCTTAACATTTGAAGACGTAACAATGCTGAATGTTTTCTGTGAGGGTTGTGTTTAGGGGTAGGATTAGGGGATAGAATATACAGTTTGTACAGTATAAAAGCCATTATGTTAATGGGAAGTCCCCATAAAACATGGAAACCCAACATGTGTGTGTGCATGTGCGCGTCTGTGTGCGTGTGTGTGTGTGTGCGCGCGTGTGCACCTGTGTGCTCCTGTGTGGGTGTATGTGTGTGTGTATTTGTGCTGAACATAGGGCAGGTGATGGAAGATCACCCACCAGTCTTCAAACCCTCAGGCTGATTTATAAAAGCCAGCCATGTTCAGATAGACAGAGCAGAAGCAGACTCCAAGCCCTTTAGCATAAGCACATTCTTCAAGCTCATATTCATCTCAGTGTTATTTTAGTATCATAAATATACTATTATAGTTTTTGTTAATATTTTGAATTAATTATTTTCTTATTTTCTGTTATTTTTAATTTTAGTTAAAGTTGTATTCATTTAGTTGTGTGTTTATGTCATATTAGTTTTTTTTATTTATTTAAATTTATTTAGTTTGAGTTATTTTAGTACTTCAACTTAAACTAAATGAAATGATATTTTATTTCAGTTCAGTTAATGTTCTTTTTATTTCAAGTCATGACATTTTTTTTTAAATGGTTTTAGTTATTAATAAACCTGATTATGTGTGTGTGATCTTGTTTTAACCTACATTGTGAGGACCAAATCCCCCTCAAAGATAGTACAACGTGGAATTTTTGACGCTGTTGGTCCGGCCCTGCAAGGAAAACAGCTCATAAAACAGTAATGGTTTTTGAAAATGCAGAAAGATTTTCTTTGTGATGGGGGTAGAATTAGGGGATATACAGTATAAATAATTATGTCTGTGGAAAGTCTACATAATGATATGTGTGCATGTGCGTGTGTGTGTGTGTGTGTGTGTGTGTGTGCAGGACAGTCTGTGGAAGTTAATAAGAACATTGTCACGGACTCAACCATCACGGCAGAAGGAACCATCATAACTGGCGACAACATTCAACTCCTTGATACTCAAAATACTAGAAGGACAATAATCGATCACTTCCATTTGCGTATGATGCAACACTGGACAGGCCTACGCCTACAAGGACAACTGGCCTGCCTGCCCTGTGCTGACCATAACGTGTCACACACAGTTCTGAAAAACACAGCCCTACAAGATGACATCCACAGATTTACAATTAAAGCACGTCTTCAGGTACTACCAACAAAGTTCAACTTAGCAACATGGTTTCCATCTGCACACGAACCGTTTTGCCTGCAACACCACAGCCGGCAAAGAGAGACAATCGCGCACATCCTTAATGGCTGCCCTGCCTAGGACTGTACATCGCGCGCCACGACCGTATTGTTGCACTCTTAGTGAAGGAGCTCAGAGACAATGTCAATTTCACCACAATCCATTTTAACGAAAAGATCAAGATAGACTGGTTCTCACCTCCACACGAACAGTGCACTACATTGGAAACTGCTATAAATCACTTTCCAAATACACCTGACATAGTTGTAATTAATGAACACACCAAAGCGGTTACAATAATAGAAATTGGTTGCTCTTTTGATGCTTACATGGACACCTGCTATGCTTCAAAACTGTTGAAATATCAACCATGGTACAATGTCTTCAATAACTTTGGCTATTCTTGTAAAGTTGCCCTCATTTTCGGTAGTTTAGGCCATGTGCACAAGTTGTGTGTAAGAGGCCTGCAGATTTGCGGACTACATAAGAACAAGGCCAAAAAACTGACAAGATATTGCTCTGTGTCAGCAGTAATTGGTAGCCTCTACATATGGAGGCGTAGGTGCCACCTTTTCCATTAATGTGCATAATGGACTGAGATATTGGCTGCTGTTGTACACTTTTTTTGTCAAATTTGAATTATGCCATGATATATGCTTATCTTTTAATTCAAATAAAGAATTTAAATGTGTGTGTGTGTGTGTGTGTGTGTGTGTGTGTGTGTGTGTGTGTGTGTGTGTGTGTGTGTGTGTGTGTGTGTGTGTGTGTGTGTGTGTGCGTGTGCGTGTGTGTGTGCGTGTGCGTGTGTGCGTGTTTGCGTATTTGAATTACCAGAGATGGCACAGGGCAAAGGTAAAATCTGTTGAGTCATTTAACATTTTCCATAGATGTTCTGTGGCTGAACGAACATTACACAGGAAATTAAACTGACAGAGGTTACGATGGATCTGTAATCTGCAATTGTCACTGACTTTTGATATTATTGGTAAGACTTTTGTGTGGCAAATAATGAACAATCACCATTGGTTTCATATTCCAACAATTAGGTTGCTGTTGTAAACCTGACTGTGTATTCACAAGAGAAAAGTAGCAGCTGATTGTGTGTGTTGAGGCTGGATGAGAGATCACAGATAAAGGCTCATTGTGATGAAAAGAAGCCTGCAGGTCATTCACCTACCCAATAAAGAGCAGCAGATGCACACAATTACTCTTGTTATGACGCAGTGTTTGTTTGTGTGTGCGTGTACGTGTACATGTCTGTATATTTCCCTCAACAAATCTCATGCAGCAGTGGACACAGCCAGCACCTTTCCTTTAGCAACACCCACAAATCTAACAACTGACCCCTGCATCACGCACACCTGAATACACTGAATACACTCCTGCGCTGGAGAAGAGAATGCATCCAAAGGTAAAAATAACTTTAAAAGTAATGATTAAGATATTTCATTTATATATAAGGCAGTGAACTGAGACTGATTATGGATTACATTTTGTTATAATCTCAGAAAAGTATATGTTTTGTGTTTTATGTTTTATGATGGATTTTCTTGTATTTCTTTTCAGCCTCGTATCAAAAAACATTATTAGTAGTTACCAAAATACTAATGGTTAAGTAAAATAAATAAAAAAACCTCTCTTTAATAACTGTTGAATGTTTGGGAACACAAAATGGTAATGTGGAAAGGTTGAGTGATTGCTGGATAAAACAATAAGGAACTGACTAATGTTGCAAGCATGGTCTCAGTTAACAAGTATTGACTTAAGTGTTGACTTGTGGATCTGCTCTTTGTTGTATGTGCGTATGGCTGTGAACAGGAGTCATGTTCACCAAGGATGCATTTATTTGACCAAAAACTACTATAAAAACAGCAATATTGTGAAATAGTATTGCAATTTTATTTATTTATTTTATTTTATAATGTAATTTATTCTTGTGATGGCAAAGCTGAAATTTTAGCATCATTACTCCAGTTTTCACTGTCCAATAATCTTGTTGAAATCATTCTAAGATGCTGATTTGCTGCTCAAGAAACATTTATTATTATTATAAATATTGAAAACAGTTGCGCTGCTTAACATTTTTGTAAAAACTGTGATACATTTTCTTTACAAATTATTTAATGAATGGATAGTTCCAAAGAAAATCATTTATTTAAAATATAAAAAATAATAATAATATAAATGCCTTTACAGTTTTTTTCTCAATTTATTGTATCCTTGCTGAATAAATGTATTACATTACTTAAATTAAATATATAAATGTTTTATTTTTGAAGCGTAGTGAATACAATGGGATAAAGCTATAGCTGTAGTATTTATCACAGCATATGACAGAGGCATATTATCATATTATCAGTTATGTATGTACACAAGACAAGAAAATTGTAACAAGTCAAAAACACAAAATACTGCCCATTTTTCCAGGGCAATATAGATAAGACATTGGCAGTTAAAGATAAAAGGAGTGTTTTGAATCACTGAGTCTGTTCCTCATGTGCCCTATAGCAGCTGTAATCATATTGTTGAAACTCAATCACACAGCACGTAATTCCTGCCCTGCCGAAAGAGCCCATCAAGAACAAACCTGTCCTCAAGACAGAAGACTGAATGGAGACCTGAGCACTGTTACAATTACTCTATTTTCAATACCTGTTGGATGTTTGTTGGATGTGAATTAGATCATGAGTTCTCAAACTTTTTAGGCTATCTCTAAACATCCAAGTACTACCTTGTGTCAACAATCTTACCTCAGAATTGTTTTAAAAATGTTCTTAAGGACTGTGAGCAATATGCCATTCGTCTTTTTTTTTTGTTCATATAATATTCTTGTAGTTCAGATAAATCATGGAGCTGCAACATCATTCCTTGACCTTTCCCCGAACTACAGGAATATTATATAAATATATATATTTTTCCGGTAACAACTTACAATAAGGTTCATTAGTTAACATTAGTTAACTACCTTAGTTAACATGAACCAAGAATGAGCAATACTTCTTCAGCATTTATTAATCTTAGTTAATATTAATTTCAACATTTACTAATACGTTATTAAAATCAAAGGTTGTATTTGTTAACATTAGTTAATGCACTGTGAATTAGCATGAACAAACAATGAACAGCTGTATTTTTATTAACTAACATTAACAAATGAATAAATACTGTAACAAATGTATTGCTCATTGTTTATTCATGATTCATGTTTGTTAATACATTAACTAATGTTAACCAATAAACCGTATTGTAAAGTGTTACTATATTTTCTCCTAACACTTATATTTGTTATAATTTTTAGACCAAAAAATGGACAATTAATATCACATGTTGGTGCCAGGTTTTGTGCCAAAGAGTCAAGTCACCTTCATTTATATGGTAACACTTTACAATAAGGTTCGTTAGTTAACATTAGTTAACTACATTAGTTAGCATGAACTAATAATGAACTGGACTTATACAGCATTTATTAATCTTTGTTAATGTCAATTTCAACATTTACTAATACTTTATTAAAATCTTGTTAACATTAGTTAATGCACTGTGAACTAACATGAACAAACAATGAACAGCTGTATTGTTATTAACTAACCTTATCAACGATTAACAAATACAGCAACAAATGTATTGCTCAATGTTAGTTCATGTTAGTTAATACATTAACTAATGTTAACTAATGAACCTTATTGTAAAGTGTTACCATTTATATACTTTTTACAATACAGATTGTTTCAAAGCAGCTATATAGTGATAATAGGAAATTAATGCAACACACATTGTTTTGGCTGTACAGCAGCTCTAGAAGAAAGTCATTGTCTAGCTTAAGTAAGTTTTTAATTGAGTCATTTCCATTGTAAAAATCATTAGATATTAACTTAATTCAAAACAATACATTTAGTAATTGCTCCATATAATAAATGTTAAATATCTTATAATACACTTTAGGGAAATGAAAAACATTTTCATTAATGGGGGTCTTTAGATGTGTTGTACCTGAATCATTGTAACATATAACATTGAAACATACATATATTACATGTTGTCTCTAAATTAATTTGAGGTTATTGCAAGTATGATAATTAACAAACGTGAAAATACACACTGTGCTAATTTGACCAATAATTGTGTTTCCAGTGACAGAGGTCAATCATGGCTATGCTGAACCCTATGGCCTGGATCAGCGAGAGCAGGGGCTCTCCTCGTCTGGTGCTTGTAGTTGTGTGTGTGGCCCTGCTACTGGATAACATGCTACTAACAGTTGTTGGTAAGTAAACAGCCATGCTAAACAAATGATAGATGTTGGAACATGGATGAAGGGATTTGCTGCCATGTAATGTAGTCTACATATTTTATGTACCTGTTTGTGTAGCTGATCTTTCTGCTTACAAGAAGGTTTCCTCATAGTTTTGACCATGTTCATCTTTGGTTTCCCTTTGAGTATTCTGTATATGCAAAAAGTCAAAACATTAGAAGAAATGTAAAGCAGGATGAGTGTATGCTGGACAAGCGACTCTGCTCTCAACAAGCCCATGACATTTACCAGCTTGCATCAGTTTGACCTCTGCCGCATACAGAAGGGGAAGGGCTATTCGCAAACACACACTCGGGCACAGATGCGGTCTGCTCCTCTTCCTATCCTCACGTCACCTCTCATTCTCCCCAGTTCCCATCATCCCAACCTACCTGTATGCCACAGAGCACCAGACACAAGAGCGCCCGTCTGCCACCCCCTCTGAGGCTCAGCCCACCTATACCGCCATCCTCTCTCTGTACGACAACACCACCTACGCCATCACAGTCACCACTGCCAACCTCACCATCTCCTCCAGTGCACTAAGCACTAATGGAAGTTCAGGGGTCAACAGAAGTTCTGCTGACCGACATGGGTGTAAAGAGGACAGTGAGTTTTTGGAAGAGGAGAATGTGAGGGTTGGGCTGCTGTTTGCTTCCAAAGCCCTGGTGCAACTCATGGTCAACCCGTTTGTAGGCCCACTCACTAACAGGTATATACACGACATGCTTAGATCAGATCATCTAAAATGACTGTTATTTATCTGAAGTATGAAGGACTGAATTAATTAATTCAACTGACATCTGACGCTTGCCTTTTTTATAGGATTGGATATCACATACCAATGTTTGCTGGGTTTGTCATCATGTTTGTCTCCACAATAAGTAAGTAATATGATGTAAGTAATAAATTATGACAGGTGGTACAGTGGTTCTCAGGCCCAGGATCATGAACAGTTCAGTGTGCTCGCCGTATCCAGCCAAAGTGATTCCTGCACTGGCTGAAAAAACTTTTAATTGGTACTCTATTCAGTGCCTGTTTATATTATATTAAGTCCTGCTAATAGCCTTATGATGTGTATCATCTGAACTATGTTATTTTGACGGTTAAAGTCAGCTTGAAATGGAAATTCATCCATATCTATTTATCTAAAATCCATTTTCGAAATACATGTTATTGATCTTATTGTAAACAACTCATTCGTGCAGATGTTTAATTTTTTTGATCTCGTATATTTTTTATCGAAATGCATATCTTCCTGTGAAATTACAGAACTCAGGATCAGGAACAGAACAACCAACCTAAAACGACATAGAACTGACAATGAACAGAAAAAGAAAACTAGAAAGAAAAAGAAAACTAATGAGACTAATTAACTAGACACACTTGAACTCAAACTAATCAAAACAGACACCATGGTGACAAACTACTAGGGGACAGAAGTAATTAACAGAACAAGAAAACCAACCTAGAAACAGGCACACTCAAAACGTGACACCTTTCTTTTTTCGATAATCCGTTTTACTCTGATATTGTCACAATACAGAATAAACAATCTGTCAGTATTTCTATTGCATCATAACTTTGGGGTCTTTTAAATCATATTATAAAAATATTTATACAAATATTTACTTGAAGATTTTAAATATTTTAAATATTACTGAGATTTTAAGTTAATATTTCAACAGTAGAACGTTCACTCTTCAAAAGAACCAACTAACACAAGTTTCAGTACAAATATTTATGTCCTCAGTTCTTTAGTTTCAAACATTCAAGGCTTTTTATTTTATTTTAATTAAGTGAATGTAAATAAAGTGAACCTAGCACACATTGCGTTACCAAATGTGCATTAAATTCACAGAGGTAGCATTTATAGAGTATGTGAAGTTGACATCACGCCACATAGAATTTTGAGTAAACTGTTTGTTTTACTCTCCATATTGTGAGGAATTTGCTCTCTTTCTGTGATCCTAAAGAATATTTTTATGCACACACTGCAGGACTTAACTTTTAAATCAGTTTTCCTTTTATTTCCACTCAACATAACTAAATATCTTACACAACATAACATAAACTGGCAGAACATAAATCTGCCTACTGAAAGGTCCAAAATCATAGCAAATGTTTTCTACTAATAATGCAACTGAGTAAGCCCACTGCCTATAGGTGCATTCACGCCATGTCAGAATTACTGTGATTCCGACTTAAAAAGTGTTTAAAAAGTGTAAAAAGTGTTCACGTCCACATTGTCACAGATTGGAGGCTGTAGTGAAGCGCAAGACGAAGGAATCAATTAAATAGTCTTTATAATTAACAGGAACACAGGTGAACGGGATCAATCACTGAAACACGCTGGGAAAAAATAGGTCAAGGGCGACCTTGCGCCCAAAAGAGTCCAACTGGGGAGGGAGGGCATGCAGCGTCATGGAGTCAAGGAGTCATGGAGGTCACGGGCAGGTGAGCAGGCCGGTGCCAGCAGGCTAGGAAGCATCCACAGGCAATAAAGAAAGCCAGGGAGGCGACGGTAGTTCAGGGAGCCAGGGAGGTGCCAGCAGTGCAGGGAGCCAGAGAGATGCAGGCAGGACAGGCAGCCAGGGAGGCGCCACTGCCACCATGGCCATGATGAGGGAGCTTGTTGACCACTGTGGCCATGATGAGGGAGCTTGACTTGACCTCTGTGACCATGATGAGGGAGCTTGACTTGACCTCTGTGGCCATGACTTGGCCGGCTGGGGACTGTTGTCCCTGCCCCCAAATTTTATTGGGAGGAGCTACGGAGGTCTGTGCTGCCCAATGGCTGTAGCCATCAAGGACAGCGTTGCATGCTCTGGGCTTAGTTCGTGAGCTTTAGCGGCCTCCTGGCCAAGCTCTGGGGCTAAAGCGGGCTCCGGTGCAGACTCAGGGGCTGGAGCAGGCTCATGGACTGGAGCTGACTCTTGAGAGAAGATATATGTGTGTGTGGCCCAGATACACATAGTAACAGCAACATAAAAGTGCAAGAACCACCTCTTCGATCTCGCCAGAGCCGACGGGAAGAGCAGGCACTAGAATTTCACTCACAGGAACAGACTTGGGAATTTCACTCTCTGGAATAGCCTTGGGAATTTCAATCTCTGGAACAGACTTGGGAATTTCCGCCCCTGGAATCGATATGGGAATTTTAGTCTCTGGAATGGACTCTGGAATTTCACTGTTGTGGCAAAAATTCTGTTAAACATCATCACTGCGTAAGAGACAACTCAGGATCAAATTTATAAAAGAAAAGTATTTATTCTTGCAAGAATAGGCCCTGTCGCCAACACAGCAGTTACCCTGTGGAGTGAGTGAGACACAGACAGGAAGAAATGGGCAATCTTTATACTGCTCTTCAAGGTCCTTTTCCCTGCAGAGCTTCCCAGTAGTTTTCCACAGACAAAAGGCCTTTTACTGCTAGCTTTGAATTATCACTAACTAACCCTTTAAGCCCCCCTTAACTAGATGACCTTCTGACCTCAGAGGTCAGAGGTCCTTGCCCATCTAGTTCTAGAGTGTCTCTCTCCTGCACTTCAGGTGTATAAACATACATACATTTCAGAGAAGTTCCTCCTTCTCACATCAGACTGCAAATGATAAAACCATATGACATTCCTTTGTAATGTCCACTGAAAATCAATGAAAATCAAAAATGTCCACAACATCACTCACTGGAACCTACTCTGAGATTTCACTCTTCTGAACGGACTCAGGAATTTCAGTCTCTGAAACAAACTTTGAACTTTGCTCAGGGGCTTGAACAAACTTGGAACTGCTTTCTCTAGAGCGGGCTCGAGAATTTTTGTCTTTGGAACTGACTTGGGGATGAATTTCTCTGAACTTGGGAGTGTTGAACCATTAGCAAAAAACACAAATTTAACAAAATTATTAAAGCTCTGAGATGGCCATCTTGGGTGAGGAGTATTAAATGGAAGCGTGCAATTGTTAAATCCAGAATTTGATGAGTAACTGAAGTTTCTGCTGGTCCATTTTAGTTTGTCCTGTCTCGGTTTGGTGGCTGTATTGAAGTGCAAGAGAAAGGAATCAACAAAATAGTCTTTAATTACAACTTCCAAAACAATAAACAGGAGAATAACAAGAAGAAACACAACCACACATACAACAATACAGGACAAAGAACTAATTGAAACTGAGGGCTTACATACACAGGGCAAACAAAGGAGCTAATGATACAAATAACAGGAACACAGTTGCAACGGAATCAATCAACGAGACACTGGAAAAATAGGTCAAAGGCAAACAGCAACTGAACACAATGAAAACTAAGACAAAACAGAACATAACCCTGGCACTCGTAGAACTCGTAATTTCAACTCGTAAACTCAGAATTTTATGAGAGATCAGTCTTTTACCACGCTGTATCACATGACAACTCCGATTATTTTTGACAGTGTTGCCATATAGAAACCTGAGGACGTGAAAAGATCTTGGACCCACCCAGCCACTGCAAAATGTCCATGAGCTTATAAGGATTTGTCAATTCAAGTCACCTTTATTTGTATAGTGCTTTATACAATACAGATTGTTTCAAAGCATCTTAACAGTAATAAAAAGGAAATAATTATCATTCATTCAAACACGTGCATTTCACATTCTTTATTGTGAACCAAGCCGCTTTGAAAAACGGTATGCTGCTGCACCTGTAAATGATCACAGTGGCACTCTTCACTCCAAAAACATGCTGCACAACTGGTTATATACCAGTGGCGAGTGGTGAATTCTTTAACTGGGTATGCTGAGTTTAATATAATAGAATTGTTATATTATACTATAAGTATTATACTACTTACATTATAATATAATAAATATATTTTAGGCCTGTGCAATTTAATAAATGCATTATACTTATGTAATAAATATTCTATAATATAATACATATAAGTAGCCAAATAAAAATCTAAGTTAAATATAATTAATTATAATAAATATAATAAATAAAACTATAAGTATTATTTAAAAAATAAGTGGAAATAACACAAATTGATGACTTTAAGAAACACATACTTACTATCGATCATATGGAGAAAATTAAATACTATAAAAACAGTTTCAGTCATGACTTTTTTCCCATTTGATCACAGCCTTTTAAAAATTAAATAAAGCAATAAGCCCCCCGAAGCTGTGTTTTACAGTGATTTACCCCGCTCCGCGTAGTGCCTGACAACGCCCCTTAGCTGTTCTAAATTCACTGTAAAACACGGCTTCAAGGGGCTTATTGGTTTTATAAAACGGTTACTCCATAGAAATATTCATTTTATTCATAAAATAAACACCAGCAACAAACAATATAACGTTATAACACATTTATTCCTCCGCCAAGCAATGTAGTTCCAAAGAGGTTGCCAAGCAACACATGCAGCAACAAAGAATCACAAAGGGCAGTTGCGCAGTAATACTAATGTAATGCGGTCACAGGCGTATGTTTGTTGAGTAATTTACAATGGCTTTGAACGTGGCTCAACCAATCAGAATCAAGGACCGGAACTATCCGTTTCATACCATTAAACATATCTTCAAGATCAAGATCAAACACTGACATTGACATTTTTGTGAACCTTTGTAACAATATAAAAATGATTGATCATAAAGATGTTTAAAGTAGGCTACACTACTGTGAGCCACTGAGTGAGATTTTCCATGTTGTTTGTTTATGTGGTTTATATGATATATGTTTCACTTTATATGGCTAGTTCAAACTACAAATGAAATGAGGAAGACTCTGACTTTGAATGCTTTCTCTGCAGTGTTTGCCTTCTCAGGGACATATGCACTGCTGTTTTTCGCTCGCTCATTGCAGGGAATTGGATCATCTTTTTCCTCTGTGGCAGGTATAATGGTTTATGTGGGATATAATGTACCAAATATGTAAGTTTGCAAAGATGTGTAAGTTTAGGGTCTGTAAGATTTTTTATGTTTTTCAAGAATGTATCTTATATTCTCACAAAGGCTGCCTTTATTTGATCAAAAATACAGTAAAACAGTAATATTGTAAAATGTCATTACAGTTTAAAATAACAGTTCCCTTTCGAGAACGGTTCACTCGTATTGTGTCTGCTAGACGCTTTGGGAAGACTCCTTTTCTCGAGAATATTGAAGCCTTTATTTTAAAACGCAGTGCAGCTGCACAGCCAGCACAGTGCAGAGCTGTATAGTGTGCTGATTGGCTGGGCTGCGGGAACTTCACGAACCTATGGCGAAGCGGCGAGGATACGCAAACCTGTCAGGGCGCTTCCCGCCTCATGCCTGCCAAAACCCGCCAAAATGAGCGTGGCTGCTGACTATATAAGCGGCCCATTTCACCATAGGAATCAGATTTAATCTTCAGCGATGACTCACCTCTTCGCTGATTTTCTCCTACTCGAAGCCTTCTTGCCGTCGACGAGCCCAGCAGCGGAACGCAGCGATCTGCAGCAGCAGTTCAGTGGACGGCGGCCTCCTGATCAGCATTCCTGACTCGACGCTGTCATCTGCTGATTCGCCATTTCCCTGCGGCCATCCGGCGAATAGTATCTTTTATAAGAGCAATTTCTAAAGAGCAAATTTCTCTAAAAGAGCACACGGCGTTGTTGCAAATGCCGTGCTCGGACTGTGTGACATGCAGAGCCCCTCTGCATGCCTCAGATAAGCATAGTGAATGCGTTTCATGCCTAGGCAGTAGCCACGCTGAAGCTGCACTCACTTAGGGTGGGTGGCTAGCTTTCTTCTCAGAGAGCGATCCTGCCCCTCGCGCCCTCCCATTTCCTGCCCTCCTCGAACCGCGGAGGAAGAAACGGCGGGGTCAGAGGATGAATTGAGCGTTCAGAAATGAGTGAGCCCATGCCGGCCCCGCCCCCGCATGCCTCACTCTCTCCAGAGAGAGACATTTCTCCGGTGCTATTCACTAAAACGGACCAGCGCCCCTCCCGTGAAGCGGCTGGCCTCGTTTCCTTTGGTGGATCGGAGGAGGATAACGACGACAGCCTGTCATTAGCCACGTCCGAAGGCGAGGATTGGTCGGGCTCAACCATTGACCCCGCCCCCCCGTCTCAGTCCAGCAGAAGTGGCGCCAGAGCGAGCACAGATGCCGACCATGCCATTGGAAGAAGCATGGCCAGCCTGGTAGTACTAGAGCTTACTAGAGCACCTGTGGCTCAATCTCACGGAGATAAAGGACACAGACAAGACTGCCTTCCTGGACTCCCCTTTATCTACCACTGGTCTCTTCGGTCCCGCGGTGAAGGGCTTTGCTGAGCGTTTGACTGAAGCACAGAAGTCTTCGCTGGCCATGCGACACTTCTTGGCCAAACGCTCCAGTTCGGCTTCAGGTCGCCCAAAGAACACGCTGACCCCTCAGCCAGCCAAACCAGTGCCGCCGGTTTCTCAGCCCCGCCCAGCGGCTGAAACCAATCGACGCCCACAGCCAGCTAAGCGCTTCCCCATCCCGCAACGCCAGGGCCCCCGGCCTAAAGTTATGCTGGACCCTGAGCCTCAGAAGCCTTCCTAGTCCAAGGACAGGAAGGAAGAGAAAGGGGTTGAGTCTCGCTGCGGCCGGACCACCCCCGAAGAGAGCTTATGTGCTTCCCCCAGCCCCCTCTTTAGTTCAGGCGGCTGGAAATGTTCCAATTGCAACCTACGGGCCCGTTTCAGTTCACGCACCCTTGCAAACAAACGCTGTTTCAACAGCGACAAAAATAAAGCACAAACAAAACTTCAAAACACCTGGGTGGCCGGGTCCCCGACGCACGGCGGCCCGCCCCTAAACTTTATTCAGTCCCTAGTTACTCGGGCCAAGGCCTGGGAACCATCCCCGATGTGTCAAAATGGGTACTGAACACGGTAAGACAAGGTTACTCGCTCCAATTCGTTTTCGCGATTTCATGCCGTGGTCGAAACATCGTAAGGAGAAACGTGGCGGACGTCCTCCGCACCTAAGGGTCAAATCTGATAGCGAAAGGAGCTGTCGAGACAGTTCCCCTGTCACAAAACGAGTCAGGCTTTTACAGCCGTTACTTCCTCGTCCCGAAAAAAGACGGCGGCCAATTCTAGATCTCAGACACCTGAACAAGGCCCTCATTAAACGGCCATTCAGGATGCTAACAACCAATAAAATTCTCCCGCAGATTTGCCCAGGAGACTGGTTTTTGTCAGTGGATCTGAAAGATGCTTACTTTCACATCCAGATAGCCCCCTATCACAGGCCATTCTTGAGATGCAGTGGACTTATCAGTACACAGTCCTACCATTCGGACTGTCACTGGCACCTCGTATGTTTACGAAATGCATGGACGCAGCTCTTTCCCCCCTGAGACAGAGGGGAATGCGCATTCTGAACTACCTCGACGATTGGCTCGTTGTGGCCGATTGGAGGCTGAGTTAAAAACCCACAGATCCTGGCTCCTCAGCCATCTAGAATGCCTTGGGCTCAGGATCAACTTCTCCAAGAGTGTACTGTCCCCCAGCCAGCGTATAACCTTCCTGGGAACAGTTATCGACTCGGTTCAGATGAGAAAGCTAGCTGCTTCGTTCAAAGCGGGCTCTTACCTGTCCCTCAGAACGTTTCAAGAGCACTGGGCCTTATGGCCTCCACATTGTCACTCCAATTAGGCCTACTGCATATGCGTCCCCTTCAGCACTGACTAAAGCCCCGAGTCCCAGCTCATGCGTGGTGGTTCGGCCACCTACGCATCAGGATAAACCATGGCTGTATCAAAGCCCTGGCCCCTTGGAAAGACACCAGCTGGTACCAGTCTGGTGTAAGCATGGGTCTAGTCTCGAGGAGGAAGGTAATTTCGACGGACGCCTCCAACCTAGGTTGGCCAACCTCTGGCCTCTGGTCGAGCTCGGAGAAGCACCTACATATCAACTGCCTCGAAATGAGAGCAGTCTTTCTAGCCCTAAAAACCTTCCTCCCGAACCTGGCGGGACACTGTGTCTTGGTCCGGACGGACAACATGGCAGTGGTGTCATATATAATTTGCCAGGGTGGTCTCAGGTCGAACAACCTGTACACCATGGCCAAACAGCTCCTTTTATGGGCACACGCCAACCTGCGCTCGCTAAGAGCAGCGCATGTACCGGGCATACTGAACCAGGGTGCGGATATGCTGTCTCAATGCCACCTCCGGGGAATGGTCTCTCCACCCTCAGACGGTTCATTTAATTTGGAGTGTCTTCGGGAGGGCAGAGGTAGACCTCTTCGCCTCAGAAGACAACTCTCACTGCCCAACATTCTTTTCAAAGAACAGGGATGCGCTGGCCCACGAATGGCCCAGCCGTCCTCTTTACGCATTCCCTCCGGTCTCGATGCTCCCTCAGGTCATTGAACGGATCAGGGAGAACAAGTGTGCAGTCCTCCTAATAGCCCCTCTCTGGCGGACCCAGGCATGGTTCCCCGAGTTGATGCAGCTGCTTGAGACAGCTCCCTGGCCTATACCGCTGAGGAAGGACCTCCTCACGCAGGCGAACAGGACAGTCTGGCACCCCTGTCCCGACTTGTGGGCCCTCCATGTATGGCCCCTCAACCGGTATCCGGGGACCTCCCGGAAAGAGTCTATCACCGAGGCTAGGGCTCCGTCAACTAGACGCCTCTACGCCCTTAAGTGGTCAGTGTTCACCGGTTGATGTGCAGCTCGGAACCTAGACCCCTTCTCGTGTGAATTACCAGTAGTACTTTAATTTCTTCAAGAGATGCTGGGTCGTACCCTTTCCACGCTCAAAGTATACATGGCGGCCATATCAGCCTTCCATACTCCTGTGGCCGCCCAATCCTGATTGTGTGCTTCCTCAAAGGGGCAGGCTTAGCCCGCCTCGACCTCCTTCTATACCCACCTGGGACCTATCTACGGTCCTCAGGGCCCTTAAAGGGATACTCCACCGTTTTTTCACATTAAACTATGTTATTCCCTTAACTAAGACGAGTTGATACATACCTCTCTCGTCTCAGTGCGTGCACTCAATCGCTCTGACGCGCGGTGACACTTTGATAGCACAGTTCATTCAATACGGGCCAAGCAGAGAAGCGAGCAAACACCTCCACGTTTTCCCTATTTAAATACAGTTACACGAGTAGTGTAACTCGACCAAGAATGGTGACACAAAATAAAACGTTGCGCTTTTCTAAGTGTGTAAAGTGGATAACTATAATGTATGGCGGAATACCATAGCAAGTGCTTGGGAGCACTTCGACGATCAAAGTGTCTTGCGCGCCAGAGCGATTGAGTGCACGCACTGAGACGAGAGAGGTATGTATCAACTCGTCTTAGTTAAGGGAATAACATAGTTTAATATGAAAAAACGGTGGAGTATCCCTTTAAGAATGAATCGGCCCTTTCAAGCCGCTGACTTAAAACCTCTTTCGCTCAAGACCGCACTCTTGCTGGCCCTAGCATCGGTCAAGCGAGTGGCCGATTTACAAGTGCTCCCCATGAACGCTTCCTGCCTTGAGTTTGGGCCCAACGACTCCAAAGTCGTCCTCAATCCAAGACATGGCTATGTACCCAAGGTGCTCTCGACTCCGTTCAGAGCCCAGGTCATTTCGCTGTCTGCCCTTCACCTATCGGAAGACGATAGAGAATCGAGTAAAAGTATTAACTTCTTTAAAAAAATCTTACTGACCTAAATCTTTGAACGGTAATGTAAAGTGGAAATAAAACGTCTGCACACCCCTGTTAAAACAGCTGGTTTTTGTGTTGTAAAAAATGAAACCAAGATAAATCACATCAGAACTTTTGCATCTTTAATGTAAAAATTACAACCTATGCAATGCCACTGAAAACCAAAGTTACACATTTCAGAGAAAAATAAAAACATAGTAAATACTAATGACTAATTGCATATGTGTGCACAGTCCTGGACTAGTTGAAGCACCCTTTGATTTTATTACAGCACACAGTCTGTTTGGAAGGTATAGGCACAGCTTGGCACATCTTGACTTGGGAATATTTTCACTCTTCTGAAAGGTCTTTATTTTCAGTTTTCTAGTAGACTCCAGAAGGTTCTATGCCAAAATTGGCTGCTACTTGGAGCCATTAATGATTCCCTCCACCTTCACTAATATCCCAGTTCCAGTTGAAGAAAAGCAGCTCCAATTGCTGTCCAAACCATGCTTCATCATGGGTATGGGTATGTTTTTTTTTGCTGTCGTTGTTTTTGCTCCAAACAAATCTTTAACAATTTTGGCCAAAACTTTCAATCTTGGTCTCATCAGACCAGAACACATTTTCCAAATGGTTTTGGGAAACTGAATGTTTTAGCAAAGTTTGCCGGGCTTGGTTGATTTTTTTAGTCAGAAAAGGCTTGCCACCCTGCCCGATACAGAATACGTGAGATATTTTTCATATGTAGGGAACAACCAGTACTTGCCAGTAAGAGCTGTAACTCTTTTAATGTTGCTGTAGGCCTCTTGACAGCCTCCCTGACCAGTTTTCTCTTTTAATCAATTTTGGATGGATGCTTTATTCTTGATACTGTTCACTGTTGTGCCATACTTTCTCCACTTGTTTAAGACTGTCTTCACTGTGCTTCATGGTGTATCTAATGCCTTGGAAAGTTTTTTGCTCACCTGAGCTATACATTAGACCCCAATAATGCTTCATAATCTCTTTGTGGCCCATGGCTCTTGTAGCATGTAACCAAGAAGATGTCAGGTTTTTTTTTTACAAGAACAGCTGAGGTTTATTTGGAATTTATCAAAGTCACTTCAGGTGAATACAGGTGTGTACTATTTCACATAAGCCTGATGATTAGTTAATTCAGAACACAGCCACATACCCAATTATAAAAGGTTGTGCACACTTGTGCAGTTAGTGTGTCACTTTGGTTTTCAGTGGCATTACATTAAAGCTACAAAAGGGATTTATTTTGGTTTCATTTTTTTACATCACAAAAAACAGCTTTTTTAAAAGTGGTGTGTAGACTTTTTATATCCACTGTATTTATGATAAAAATGCTAATAAAAATCCTAAATCCGTAGGTCTGGGAATGTTAGCAAGTGTTTACACAGATGACAATGAGAGAGGAATTGCCATGGGATTTGCACTGGGAGGACTTGCCATGGGAGTGCTCAGTAAGTTAATGTAGTAGGCTACTGTATTTTTTTCTATATTGTGCTTTACAGTCACCTTTATTTATATAGCGCTATTTACAATACAGATTGTTTCAAAGGAGCTTTACAGTGATAACAGGAAAATAATGCAACAAAGTTTGTTTCGGCTGTACAGCAGATCTAGAAGAACATAGTGTCATAGTCCAGCTTAAGTAAGTTCAGTGATGGTTAATTTCTGTTGTAAAAAAATTATTGATTTAGTTCATCTATCTATACAGCCGCTCTGGAGAAAACAGTGATATCATCGTCCATCTCAGTTCAGTTCTTATATAATGATGCCAAATGCAGGACACCATATGACACAATATAACAATGTAAAGTAATATCATGTAATGCACCAAATTACAACAACTGAAAATGACCAGCAATTATAATGCACCTAAATGAAGGTGACAGAATTCATGCCTCAAATGACAATTTTTGACAATGCGAAATGTACTCGTTTCAGTTGGAGCGCCATTTGGCAGTGTTATGTACGAGTTTGTTGGTAAAAGTTCTCCCTTCCTCGTCCTTGCCTTTCTGGCTCTGTTTGATGGAGGTAAGACATTAGTAAAACTAATAATGAATATGCTCCTTTGGCCTGTTACATTAAATTAAGTTGATTTATCGAATTGTTTTCAATACCCAGCCCTCCAGCTCTGCATCCTTCAGCCCTCAAAAATATCTCCAGGGGTGAGTAGCATTCATTTATTAAAATGAGAGTTATGAAAGTTGATAGATGAGAAATGTTTGCGTTACTGTTACTATGATAAGTTGGAGTGATTTTTATGTGTCTTCTGTTCAGAGTGTGGAAGGAACACCATTACTTACCCTGCTGAAGGATCCCTACATACTCATTAGTGCAGGTGTGTGTGTAAATAAAACCAAATCAAATACTTCCTCAATACTGCCCACAGTCAAACCTGTTTAAAAAGTTGTTGTGGAGGTGTACTAGCTTTTTCTGTAATTACATGTGTGTTTCCATAAAATCATGGCTGTATGTTTTGATGTGAGCAGCTAAAACGATTTGTAAATGAAGCGGATGAAGAGCTATGTTGAGTGAATGATGAGTAAGATTATGGTTCCTGTATATAATTACAGGATCTTTGTGCTTTGCAAACATGGGGGTGGCTATTTTAGAGCCCACTCTTCCCATCTGGATGATGCAAACAATGTGCTCGCCAAAATGGCAGCTTGGTAAGAAACTCTATTATTCCAAGTCATTAAAATGTGATTGAAACAACTTCACTTCCTGCTTATTTAGATAATTCTATTTGATTCCTGTTTGTTTCCTCTCTGACAAATTTAATGTTAAAGTAATTTACTTGAAAGAATTCAGAACCATTATATCATTAGAAACTTCCTTAGTGAGAAATAAGTGAAATGTTGGTTTCTGAGAAGATCTGTGGTTCCCTTTCGTTGTCACTCCGAGTTCCGTCGGATGACGACGAATGGGGTTTCGCTTAGAAAGCCTATCGACTTCGAGTATACAAAACGAGCCAATGGCAAACAAATGCCATGGGTCTGCGGAATTTGCATGGCGCAACTCCGCCCCACCTCGTGGGGATAAAAGGAGAAAGCCGGCAAACTGCAGATATGTTTTTGCTTCGGAGCCAAGATGTTCTCTTCACTCCTGCAGTCTATTCTCTGACTATCTTCGAGAATCTTCAAGACGAGCAGCTTCCAGTCGGTGTTGGTGTGATGGCGTGTTCCAGCGAGTTTCACATTCCTGCCTGCTGATCTGATCAGCTGTGTGCTTCTCCCTGGGCGCTTCAGCACTGCTGCAAGCTTTTCTCACACAAAAAGAGCGTGCACGCGGCGCGTCTTTTTAAAGACGATCTGCCCGTGCATTTCTGAGTGCGGTAGTCTGATAGATTCAGCTGATGGGCACGAGCGCTGTTTTGACGTGTTTGGGCTTCGATCACGTTCGAACAGCGCTCGCGGATGCGTCACGTTCTCTTAAGGGAACATGACCATCGCAATGTAACGGTCAAGACTCAATGAGCTCAACTGAGTGAGAGTCCCCTCATCCACACCCCGATCTATTTTCTCCACGTGAGAGAATACTTTGGCTGGTGGCCAGGGTGACCTGAGATGGCTGGTGTGGAACAAAACCGCCGATTAATATCCGTGGTCCACACCCCTCTCTTTAACATTGCAACCCGCGCGGTTCTGAATGAGTTAGCTGGTCAGAGCCACGTCCTAAGGACGCCGGCGGGCCGGCATCTCATTCAGTTCCCCGGCTGATGAAATCATGTCTATCGCCGCGTCACAAGGTGAGCTGGAGTCCTTTGGAAGTGAGGGCTCGTCTATGTTGCCACTCTCAGGTGTGCAACATAGCGAGTCTGATCCAGAGTTGACAGCTATGCTTCCCGGGCAGCCGCGAGTATCGGGCATGTGTGGATTACTCTGCCATGTCTCGAGCACTCAAGGCTGATGATTGGTTTTGGGGAGGCGAACCCAAAATCCTTTCTACTCGGATGTGCATGAAGAGGCTATGAGATCGTGAGAGTCTCCTTTGACTTCGCGACTGCTCAGCAGCCTCTTCCACCTTCTCTGCCCTCGAGAGGCCGCGGCCATGGGTACACTGGGGTTCCCCCCGTGGAGTGTTCTGTGGCAGCACGTCTGTGCCCCCACAGCGCCTCCACCTGGCGTGGCGACCCTAAGCACCCCTCCAATGCCTGTAGGTTTTTTGTCTACTCCGGTGGCAAAGACCTATAGAGCAGCGGACAGGCTGCCGTCTCACTGCATGTTATTGCCATCCTTCGGGGTGCTCAATGACATGCACGAGGGTAGGGCTGATTCAGGGCTCATCTAAGAGACTGCCTGCCGCCACCGACCTCGCTCTACGAGTGACGAAGGTGACCGCACGCTCCCTGGGTCAGGTGATGTCCACTTGTGTGGTCAGACATTTCTGGGTTAACCTGGTTGATATGCGCGAGGCTGAGCGAACCCGCTTCCTCAACTCCCCCATATCCCAGGCTGGCCCTTCGGCGGCGCGGCCGAGGACTCTGCCCAACAGTTCTCGGCCGCCCAGAAGCAGACTGAGGCTACCAAGCACGTTCTGACCCCGCGGCCAGCTGCTGCCGCCGGCTCAGACGCCTCAGTCAGCTTGCCGCCGAACGCGCCCTCCTGCGACTTTCGCCCCCTCCCGCCCGGCCCCAGCAGCTCCGGGCCGCGCCGTGGAGGTGGTCGCAGGAAAGCGCCCCAGCCCGTACCAGCCCCGCAGCCTGCCAAATGCCGGGCAAAGCGGCGCTCCCGTTACGGGCAGCTCAGAGATGGGTTGCAGTTCTCCAGGAGGTGGTTGCAGGGCCACTCCTTTCCCCGGTGGAGGGCCGGGGGAGAACCTCTTTTTCCAGAGAGCTGACTTCCCATCTCTAAGCACACAGAGTTCTCGGACGACACGGTGCGCCGCCCCCGGGCCGTGCACCCCTCGTCCTCCTCTGTCCCAGAGCCGGATGACAGTGCGCGCCGTCCCCGGACCGTGCCGCTCTCATCCTCCTCTGTCGCCAGACCCCTGGCAGAGCAGACCCCGTGGAACGTTCGTCCTTCCCTGGTCTCCTCTGTCAGGACTCTGCGGTCTATGACTGTACCCTCACACCGGGCCGCTATGCCGTCCACGTCTGGGTCAGCCATACCGCCTCGCTGCTCCACCGACGGGAAGTCTGTGGTTCGCGTGACCCCGCTGGTACAGTCCTTGGGAGCCTGGCTAGAGCTTCCCATCCTGTCCCGCTGGGTCGCACGAACGATCAGGCTCGGCTACGCGATTCAGTTCGCGCGGTCTCCTCCCCGCTTCAGGGGAGTCCGCTCCACTATGGTCGGTGGCAATGCCCCATCATGAGAGCGGAGGTTGCTACCCTGCTGGCGAAGGGTGCGATCGAGACTGTCCCTCCAGCCGAAATGAGGACCGGCTTCTACAGCCCGTACTTCATTGTTCCGAAGAAAACTGGTGGGTTACGGCCAATCCTGGACCTGCGCGTATTGAACCGCTCCCTTCACAGGCTGCCGTTCAAGATGCTCACCGCCAAACGCGTTTTCGAATGTGTGCGGCACCAGGATTGGTTTGCAGCGATCGACCTGAAGGACGCCTACTTTCATGTCTCCATTCTCCCTCGACACAGACCGTTCCTACGGTTTGCTTTCGAGGGACAGGCATATCAGTACGCAGTTCTCCCATTCGGGCTAGCCCTGTCCCCTCGCGTCTTCACGAAGGTCGTCGAGGCAGCCCTTGTTCCCCTCCGGGAACACGGGGTTCGCATTCTGAACTATCTCGACGACTGGCTGATTCTAGCTCACTCTCGAGATCAGTTTTGCGAACACAGGGATTTGGTACTCCGCCATGTAGCCCGTTTGGGCCTTCGGGTCAACTGGGAGAAGAGCAAACTTTGCCCCGTGCAGAGGATCTCTTTTCTCGGTATGGAGATCGACTCGGTCGCCATGTCCGCGCAGCTTACGAGCGAGCGCGCGCAGTCACTGCTGACTTGCCTGAGACAGTTCGAGGGCAAGAGTGCGGTTCCACTGAAACTTTTTCAGAGGCTCCTGGGGCATATGGCATCTGCAGCCGCGGCAACGCCGCTCGGATTGCTTCATATGAGACCGCTTCAGCTTTGGCTTCGCGACCGAGTCCCGAGGTGGGCATGGCAACACGGCACGCTCCGAGTACCAGTTACTCCGACCTGCCGTCAGACCTTCACCCCGTGGGGGAACCTCAGCTTTCTACGGGCAGGAGTGCCTCTGGAACGAGCTTCCCGGCATGTTGTTGTAACGACAGATGCCTCCACCACGGGCTGGGGTGCCATGTGCAATGGACGTGCTGCCGCGGGCTCCTGGACAGGACCCCACCGCTTATGGCACATCAATTGCCTCGAGTTGCAGGCTGTACGTCTTGCTCTGCGCCGCTTCCGGGCCGTGCTCAAGAATCAACACGTACTAGTCCGAACAGACAATACCGCCACTGTAGCGTACATCAACCGTCAAGGTGGTCTGCGCTCCCGCCGTATGTCGCAACTCGCCCGCCACCTCCTCTTTTGGAGTCAGAAGCATCTGAGGTCGCTTCGAGCCATTTACATCCCTGGAGCCCTGAACTGTGCAGCCGACGAGCTGTCACGGCTTCAGCCCCTCCCCGGAGATTGGCGACTCCATCCCCAGACGGTTCAGCTGATTTGGGACCAGTTCGGGGACGCACAGATAGATCTGTTTGCCTCTCACGACTCGACCCATTGCGCCCAGTATTATTCCCTGACCGAGGGCACGCTCGGCACGGATGCTCTGGCGCACAGCTGGCCGCGGGGCCGCAAATATGCGTTTCCCCCAGTGAGCCTTCTTGCGCAACTCCTGCGCAAGGTCAGGGAGGACGAGGAGCAGGTCACTCTGGTCGCGCCGTACTGGCCCACCCGGACCTGGTTCTCCGAACTTGTACTCCTCGCGACAGCACCTCCTTGGCCGATTCCTCTGAGGAAGGACCTCCTTTCTCAGGGACGGGGCCCTCTGGCACCCTCGTCCCGATCTTTGGAACCTCCACGTGTGGCTCCTGGACGGGACGAGGCAGGTTTGAGTACCCTGCCACCAGCGGTGGCGGCTACCATCACTTCCGCTAGAGCGTCGTCCACGAGACACGTATACGCGTTGAAGTGGAACCTCTTCGTCAACTGGTGCTCTTCTCACCGAGAAGACCCCCGGAGATGTTCGATCAACGTCGTGCTTTCCTTCCTTCAAGAGGGGTTGGAGCGAAGGCTGTCTCCCTCCACCCTCAAGGTCTATGTCGCCGCTATTGCCGCACAGCATGATCTTATAGAAGGTAAGTCGGTGGGGAAGCATGACCTGATCGTCAGGTTCCTGAGAGGAGCGAGGAGACTGAATCCTCCTCGCCCTCCTCTCGTACCCTCTTGGGACCTCGCAGTGGTCTTAACCGCCCTGCGTAGTGCTCCCTTTGAGCTTTTACAGTCAGTCGAGCTTAACTTCCTGTCAATGAAGACGGCGCTTCTGACTGCATTGGCCTCCATCAAGAGGGTAGGGGACCTGCACGCATTCTCCGTTGACGAAGCGTGCCTGGAATTCGGGCCGGCGTACTCTCACGTGATCCTGAGACCCCGGCCTGGATATGTGCCCAAGGTTCCTACCACTCCCTTCCGGGACCAGGTGGTGAACCTGCAAGCGCTGCCCCGGGAGGAGGCAGACCCAGCCTTGGCACTGCTCTGTCCAGTACGTGCGCTCCGCATCTACGTAGACAGGACGCAGTGTTTCAGGACCTCAGACCAGCTCTTTGTCTGTTATGGTGGGAAGCTGAAGGGAAAGGCTCTCTCCAAGCAAAGGTTGTCTCACTGGATAGTGGACGCCATTGCTTTGGCATACCAGCAGCAAGGGCGACCGTGCCCCCTTGGTGTGACTGCCCACTCCACCCGGAGTGTGGCATCCTCTTGGGCTCTAGCGCATGGCGCCTCGCTAACAGACATCTGCAGAGCTGCAGGCTGGGCGACACCTAACACATTCGCCAGATTCTACAATCTCCGAGTGGAGCCTGTGTCCTCTCATGTACTCGCTTCAACCAGCTAGTACCGGACCCGCTCAGGTGTCTTCGCTTGCTCGCCATTCCACTCTACGGACTGGATACGTGCGATATTCTCCTCAGGTGAGCTTCTCCGAAAGCCCTGAGTTCCTCCAGCACTCCTGACGTCGGCGCCAGTGTCTCTTGCCTGCGCGTCGGCTAGGTGCCTCCCGTGTGCATGGTACCTCCTGGAGCTACCCCCACATGTGTATTCCCACTGTAAGCCTCTCTGAGCATGTGTCTTTCCCTTGGCAAGCCACCTTGCCACCCCTGGGGTTGAAATATTCCACCTGCGGCTGGATACCCCAGTGATTCCCCATATGCATCCCTCGGGTCATATGTGTATTTCTAAGTCCCCCCCTCTGGGTTGGCAGTAATTGCATACTTCCCTAAGACCTGGGATATGCTCCCCAGTGTACCTTGGTATTCCTGTGTTAAATAGGAGTCCTTCGTCCGTGCTAGGCTCACGACAGGGATCTCAGATTTACGCAGGGCACTGGAAGACAGCTGGGAAGGTGGCGTGATTAGACTGGTATCCCCATTCGTCGTCATCCGACGGAACTCGGAGTGACAACGAAAGGGAACGTCTCGGTTACGGATGTAACCCTCGTTCCCTGAGTAGGGAACGGAGACGTTCCGTCTTCCTGCCACTTTCCGCTGTACCGCTGGAACAGCCGAGTTCAGTCTTGGCTCCTCAGCGAAGAAACATATCTGCAGTTTGCCGGCTTTCTCCTTTTATCCCCACGAGGTGGGGCGGAGTTGCGCCATGCAAATTCCGCAGACCCATGGCATTTGTTTGCCATTGGCTCGTTTTGTATACTCGAAGTCGATAGGCTTTCTAAGCGAAACCCCATTCGTCGTCATCCGACGGAACGTCTCCGTTCCCTACTCAGGGAACGAGGGTTACATCCGTAACCGAGACGTTTCTCTGTGTAGTTCAATCAACTGGTAAGAGTTAAAAGAAGCCAGCCAGTAAGAGGTTTCTGATGGTTCTGATGAATTTGTTAAATATTCTTTCTGTGTTATGTCTGTCTGTCTGTTGACTGAATTAATCGTAGCCACTGATATTGCAGGTATGGCTTTCCTACCAGCCAGTGTGTTTTACCTCATTGGAACCAATCTATTTGGTATACTGGCCAATAAAATGGGAAGGTAATAGCTAAAAGTCATTTTGTTGAGGGGGAATGGGTTGTCTATCGAGGCAATATTTGCATAATTTAGAAATGTGTCTCTTTGATTTAGGTGGTTGTGCTCCATGATTGGCATGCTTATAGTTGGCATCAGTCTGCTCTGTGTGAGTATCACAAATCATGTTGCATTACACTTTAAAAACAGCAAGGCCCATGTGTGCTTGAACTATGTATTAAAACAACTACACTACCCATCAAAAGTCAGTACATTTAAGGAAATGTAAGGATTCATTAAATTAATCAAAAGTGACAGTACTGTTGTAACATTTATAATGTTACAAAAGATTTCTATTTTACGGTAAATAAATGCTGTTCTTTTGAATGTTCTATTCATAAAAAAATACTGAAATGTATCTTGGTTGCCACAAAAACATTATAAAAATATTATGATAATAAATAATGCACCAAATTAGCTTTATATAATGATTTCTGAAGGATCATGTGACACTGAAGACTGGAGTAATGCTAATGAAAAGTTTGCTTTGCCATCACAGGAATACATTACATTTTAAAATATATTTGAAATAGAAAATAGTTGTAATTGTAATAATATTTCACAATATTTCTGTTTTACTGTATTTTTGATCAAATAAATTGAGCATTCGTGCAAATAAGAGACTTCTTTCAGTAACATTTAAAAATCTTACTGAACCCAATCTTTTAAACAGTACTGTATATATAAAAGGACTGTGGTGATTGTAATAAACAACCAAATCAACATAGACAACACAGAATAATGAACTGACAGAATTAAGGATTTTAATACACAGGGAGAGTAATCGAGGTAAAACAGAACAGGTGCAGGAAGTAACTAAATAACAACCAGGGAAATGACTGGGAACTGAGGCAAAACGGAACATAGCACTGACTGAAAAAACTAAACCACACGTTACAGTAACATTATATGAATTTGTTGTAGGTTCCCTTTGCCAAAAACATCTATGGTCTTATTGGACCCAATGGAGGGTTGGGATTTGCTATTGGTGAATATTATTTAATTATTTCTCATTCAGTATTAAAGAGTGTTTACCAAACAATGCAAATTCTGTCATAATTTACTCATGACTTTCTTCTGTGGGGCACAAAAGTCAATCCAAGTCAAGTCACCTTCTCTTATATAGCGCTTTTAACAATACAGATTGTTTCAAAGCAGCTTTACAGTGATAATAGGAAATTAATGGAACAGAGATTGTTTTGGTTTTACAGCAGCTCTAGAAATAAGTTATTGTCCAGCTAAAGTAAAAAAAAAAAAGTTTTTTATTGATTCACTTCCGTTGTAAAAATCATTAATTTAGGGGCCGCTTATACGACACCATTTTAACTGAAAACAGAGAACTTTTAATACCTGCACAGTGTTTGGTGGCTCGAGGACGCAAACTTTGAAATAGGTTCCAAGCTGCAAGTTTTGTAAAGTTGTGAAAATTTTTGAAAACGTTATCATCTCCATGTAAACTTCAAAAACGTGAATCTTTGAAAACGGTGACGACTAGCACATGCATATTACGTGTTTAGTCTATAGGTATGCGCGTTTGAATATACTGTATATGTGCGCAAAAGTAGATACAGTTTTTAAAAAATGTCTCTGTGTTGTTGCCCATACAATGGAAGTCAGTGGGGTCCAATTTTGTTTTGGACCCCATTGACTTAAACTGTATAAGCAAAAACATTCTTTATCCTTTGTGTTCCACAGAAGAAAGAAAACAACATTTTTGTGTCAACTATGCTTTTAACATACATAACTCTTTTACTTTGCATGACATATGGAAATATACATAAATTTTTTGTGCTTGTAGGAATGGTTGATTCTTCTATGATGGCAATAATGGCTTACCTAGTGGATATCCGACATGCTTCTGTGTATGGAAGCGTGTATGCTATTGCTGATGTGGCACTCTGCATGGGATTTGCTGTCGGTAATTGCACCTCAATGCAGATGTACTTGAATATATTTTTACTAATAAACATGTGTTGTGCAATTTATTCCTACAGGGAGCTGTTTTCAACTAAAAACTGAAAACTTTTTATGCATTTTGGCCGTTTATTTACACGACAACAGTGTTTTGGGGCCCTGAAAATGCAAACTTTTGAAAACAGGTTTCAAATTGCTAGTTTTTGAAAACAATATCGTTATCATCTCCTTTTAAACTACAAAAATTTAAAAGGTGATGTCATTGTTTTTCTTTACAAAATGACATCACCAACTACTGGCCTGGCATGCATAATACAGCATTTTTATTCGTTTTTGCAGATCTGTGTGATGTGTGCGGTTAATTTTGACAACGCTGTCACCTGTATGCAAAAAATGAATAGAAAAACGTTTCCATTTTTATTACACCGTTGTCGTGTAACCGTTACCTAGTTACAAAAAAAGCCACATTCCATTTAGATCTATTTTCAAAACTTCTGATGTGATGTGTGTTTGCTCACACTAAGAGCTCTGGGAGCCAAATTGACTCTACCTTCTTTGTGCGTTCATGCTGTAGGTCCATCTACCGGAGGGGCAATAGTAAGAGCTATCGGCTTCCCTAATCTCATGGTGATCATCGGCGTGGTCAACATCCTGTATGCACCCCTTTGCTTTTTCCTCAAAAATCCTGCTGTTCGGGAAGAGAAGATGGTGAGACTCACACATGTAACTGTTCCTGCATGTCTTTATCAATATGCTTAAATGTTTCATAATGAAGGCTGACGCTTGTTTCTAAAGGCTATTATAAATCAGGAGTGTCCAATGCATGTGAAGAGCTACAATACACAGCGTGGGTACAGAGAATTCCCCCTGAGTGATGACAGTGAGGAGGACACTGAAGAGTGATGTACACATACTCATAAAGGAACTTGTCAACGAATCATCAATATTACAGGTTTAAACAATATTGTGGACAATATTGTAACTTTCCCCATCCTTCAATATATGATTTTGAGTACAAATAGTTAGTGCAACATAAATATTGTTTTCTTAGCTGTATGCTTGTGTAATTGTTGTTTATCATGTCTTTTGTCAGTTGGTTTGAATGAAATAAATGGGCCTATACTTTGTCAACTTGATTTGATTGTTTTCATTGTGATGTGTCGTACCCTCCTCATAGAAATACAGTGTGTGTTTGTTATATTTATCAGAGTATAAATGGACACAAACTACCAGCTTACTCCAACCATGCAAATGAGTCAGCTTTTCAAACAAAGGAACTTCCCCCCCCTTGAGAATTGCACCTTTCTCATTGGTCAAGCCCAAACTCAAAGGTGTGACCTCTGTGGAACTTAAAAGCCAACACAAAGTTCCCTCCACGTGTTCACTGGCTTCTGCTCCTGCTCCTGATTGCTGTTCAGTGTTCACGTGAGACTTCATCCGGCTGCCAGGCACCACACACAGAGCCATGTGTACCTTCCTCGACCATAACAGAATTAACTAACTCCTCAATTCACCATTGCTTCTACAATCAACGCGGAAGAAATCGATTGCAACTTCAGCACCATCAGTCCGAACTATCAAGACTTTCTCCTCGGTTTTTCAGTCACCTTCACTTTCCATTCTACCCATGTAGGCGTGATTGTGTGTATGTGTTTGTTTAGATTAGTTATGTGTTCGTGATTTAGTTAAATAAAACGTTTGTGAACGTGTGCAAATTGATTCTGGTTTGCTTATAAATCAATATCAATTTAACGATTATGATCTACATAAGAAAGGGGCTTTCTGTGGCCACGGAAAATACCCTTTCTGAAGAGTTGAAAGATGAGCAATACTGCTGGACGAACAGATTAATAGATGGTAATATTAATTCAGCTACATGAAGTTAATTTGATTAACTGATCCACATATTTATAATTATAACAAGCTATGATTAATTATACATACAGTATTTCCCTTTGGAGCTACTTTGCTACACTGGTCGGTCACTCAGTTCATCATATTTAGCAGACTGAAAATGTCTTGTAGAGTAAATTATTGTATCACTAGAATATGGCGAACTGAGTGCCAGTCACAGAGCCAGTCATAATTAACAAAGCTTATTGGCGATTTAAAACATGTTATCATCCAACGTAATGGCAAATAGGTTTCCAACTAAGGTAAATCAATATTTACATAATATAATAGTAGTACATGTATCTTCCTCAAATATTTTTCCGCAATTATCTCGCAAAAGTCCTGCAATAGAGCAAGTCACCCTACCCTATCCATTGTGAGTGGGATGTCAACTTCTATTTGTATGTCTCCTGTGAAGCACCAGTAATTTCCTTTGGATATGCATCAAATATTATTGAATTTAATTATTTTGATTTCCAGGGTAAAAGAGTAGGAAGTTGTGGACAAAAGGAGATGTGATGGATGATTTAACCAACATATCTTCGAGATCAACAACTAATTTTAAACCAAAGCTAAATTAATAACCGGTTCTTCTGGGTCATCATACAAAACACGTGCCTTTTGTGTCCTTTATTAAAATACTAACATGAACAGTAATTTTACCAAACACATCAAGAAACATCCAGTAACTTACTGTAATAATATACTTTAAAAGAACATACGTAAGTGCAAACTGAATTGAATGTTTTGGGTCACTTAATTGCATATTTATTTTAAATGCTTTAATATTTCCGCAAACCGGTTCTTTTGGACAATTTGTTTCTTAAGGCCCGCCCAATTGGTCCAACAATGGTTTCCGATAAGGGGGTGAAGGATTACTGTGCGTTCTGTCTTTTCAGTGTGGCAAAGTAGTTTAATTCCAATTTACTTTTATCTGACTCCATTTTATCACAACCTCACATTTAGGTTGGAACGCCAATTGGTTATTGTTCATTTATCTGATAATTTATCTAGACATTTGATTATTCTAACTCTTAACTCCGTATTGTACTTTTTCATTCGGATACCAACGTCGCATAGGGTTCTGGCTGGCCGTTTAACACGGATCCCACGATCACACGCCAGTCTTGGTCACTGGACAGAGGTAACTGACTATACTGTTTAGAGGGCTGCTCCCATGCTTGCACTCTTTAGAAGTATTTTGTTTAGTCCCCATAGATCTGTATAGACTTGAATTAACACCATATAATCAGAGGTCACAACAACTTCCACAGATATAAGTTGACCAGCATTACTTTATCTGGTAGTAAATTTGGTTTGGTTATGCCATGGTTTCACATGTACATGTAGCTTGTCACGGATGGAACAGGAGTCAGACAGGTGGTAAGTGAAATAGTGTTTATTTACAGGTTGCAGATCCAGACAGAGATATGGTGAGTATGCAAGCAATGATATTCAGGATGGAACTTAGCTGAAGGATAACCAGAGTCTTTGTTTACAGATGCGGATGGAGAGTCACTGGGAACAGGCTGATGACCGGAGACTGGAGACTGAATTTCCGTGTGAAGGTTAGCAGGTGATCAATGGATGGAACTCAGGTAGGTAAGTAGCGTGATAGTCTGTAGAGACGAGACCAGACAATGAGTGTGTGAAGAGGAGTTGAATATATAGGGAGGTGAACTGATGAGGTGCAGGTGATGGTGATTAAAACTCAGGGGACTGTGAATGAGTGGGAGGAGTGAGGGAAGCTGGTGGAATCCTGACATAGCTAAAGTAATATTACAATAAATAGAGGTAAGGCTCACCCTATTTAGGTTGGTTGAGCAACATTCTGTTGTCCTAATATTTATTCCCTTTATTAGCCTTACAGTCTAAGCTCACTTGAACCAGTGCCAAGTGTTAGGCGGAGCTCTTAAATATCAGTCCGGGGGACACTCAGCATTATGGGCTGATCTGCTTACAAATCGAGCCCTGAAGCCTTTGCAACATCTCCTTAAATACTAGACCAAGACAGAACCCTCCTCCAAAGGAGACATGAGTTACCAATGGGAATATGCATTAATCAAGGCCCCAGATCTGGGTAGTTTACACTTTTTGGGGACAGAAAGTAATTTACATGAAAAACCCTGGGAGGGGGTAGACCCACCACAGTAAGCAAAGTATCTCTAAACTCTTAAAACCTTTATTACCTTTTGGTTTACTTCTGTGGAGACGAGACCGTTGTATCAGTCGCATGGATACATTTCAAATGAAACCAAACATGTATAGTGTTGTATGATGATTGTTCACATTAAACCATATAGATTTTTGGGTGAATTTCAGGTGATCTCAGCATGTAGAGAGAAGAGATGGGGGATGAGGGGGTAAAGGGCAGGAATGCAGATAAGACAATAAACACTGAGGTGTGATCTCAATGTGATTGTGTCTCAGATGGGGATGCTAATTTTGCAAGAGAGAGTTCAAATGTTAATATCCAGAAACGTCCGTTTTCTTAGAGTAGCCCATCTCTAAGCCAGACGGCACGGTATCTTCCAGGTGTTCCAGTCTGACAGTTTCAATGAACCGGTAAAAAAAAAAAGATTTATCGGTTCCTTACGTACTCACGCAATGATGTCACCACGCATTTCTTTCGTAACAACTTAGTGTCATGTTATATCAAGATAACATTCAAGTAAAGTAATTTGTCAACACATAGTGACACATTCATATAAAAAGTTATTTGTGTGAAGAACGCATATTGCTGTTTACTGCTTATACCTCATCCTACCCATTAAAAAGGCCTACTTTATTCCTTCTAATGAATAAAACCTGCTAGGCACTTTATTTACACTTTTCAAATATTTTCTTATTTTTTATTTAAAATAAACACCTCACCAAGCTGTTATACGGTGAAAAAAGGGAGAAGAATAAGTTTGGAAAAAGGCGGATTCAAACTCGGTCGGTTGTGTCAAAAGCTAACGCCACCAGCATTCACACAGAACGAGTTTTTGCTTTGAAAAATGTGTGATGCGGGAAGTGGAATGGGGAAACCCGCAAGTTCTCGAGACACTTCTTTTAAAAGTTGAATTTCTTTTAACTTGAGTGCTGCGTTTTTAGAAAGCCGTGCCATGCGTGAGAAGCTGCATAAGATGTAAGACATGAGCACATTAGTCAAACACATCTGTCTAGTGATTGCCTACATAGAAAAATAATGGAAAAGCAGCGCAGTGCAATGGAAAAACGCATTCTGTGTGAACGGCCCCTTAATGGTGTTCAAGTCCTCCTGCGAAGTTCTTATTTATGAGTTGGTATTAGTCCTGTTTATGACGTCAGGTGCGTTCAAGTCACTTTCCGCAATAATAACCAATTGCAGAGCTGCAGAACCATATATCACAGCAGTCTGAGCCTAAGGACAAACAGTGCTAGGCCAGCAGTCTCACATCTGTGTTGGGGTGGAGCTTATAGCGTCTTTAAGGGTAGATTAAGTGGTTGGGTGGGATTCGCATTTGTTAAGGTTGCGCTTATATTTATAGTGAAGTGGGTTATAGTATAGTTATGTGGTTTAGTGGTTGGGGCAGGTTATGCTATCGTCGACTTTGTGGTGGCATTCATGTGCGTTCAACTCATAAAAGTTGTGTTCATCTGTGATAATTACATTGATGGACAAAACGTGCAAATATCATAAACTTGTTGATCACAGAGCTTGTTTTTAGCGAAAATCCAAAAGCCAATGGGAAAATCTTATTGGGTTTTTGCATCTAGGGTTTTAGTCGAAACTGCCAGTTGGCCCACAAAGTGATGTCATACCTGCACACTCTATTCAAACAGTAAACAGTAAACCCCAGTAAAGCTCCCTTGATCTATTATAAACATAAAATATAAATATAAATACAAATATCTCTATATAGATCAGTGGAGCAAACGCAAACTTTCTCTGTATTCCATGTCCCTTAGTTTAGGGGCATTTCAAATTCATGGTGATTATTATAGGCTATTATATAATAAAGGGGTCGTTTGTTTCATTAACATTAAAATATGTGCAATTAGTTTTTAAAAATATATATACTTAAGACGGTTTCATAAATAATGAAATAATTTAGTATGAGATGGGATGATGAAATTTATTAACAGTTTATTTGACTTTAAGTAAATAATCTGTAAAATCTTAAAGAAAAATCACCTTTAGCAACAGAAAAAGCCACAAGTGAAAAAAAGGGTGATACTAGTGATCACTTGTGGCTTTTTCTGTTGCTTTTTCTTTATTTCAAGTGCCTTACTTAGCTTGGATATGTCGTTTCAACATGGGAACTTTTATAGTACGGCTCGAGTTTCGGAGGAAATATTTAATGGTAGCACTTAAAGAATCCGCTGCATAACTGAAGTAGTAGGCATGTGGGTAAATAATTGTGATGTTTTATAGTACATAGAGTAAATAATTTAAATGATTCCAAAAAAATACATGCTAGGGGTTTTAAGAAGACTGTTATAGAAATCAGTGGTCTTGAGCTACTATTTGTCATATGATCTTCATACGGTCTCAGATAGATTTTAAACAACGCAATGGATGTGGCACACGTACTTCAGGAGATGAAAATCGGAGACAAAGGTTCCTGCTCTGTTCTTGCTGCTTTGAGTCACATTCGTGAGCATTTCGAGGTGGAAGATGCACATGAGAATCGCGCGCGCATCTTGGAAGACACAGCAGAGCTGCTCGCAAACGCTCCTCTTTCCTGGCTCTTTCCTGGAGGGAACACTGATTTACGAGGCCAGTATTTGGGCTTAGTGAACTCATTTACCCGTTACGCTGCCCTGCCAGTATGTGACACAGACAGCGGCACTTTACCTGCTAAGAATTACGAGGACATACCGGCCAAAGCTCAGGCTGTTAGTACAGTGCTTCTTGCGTTGTCTCTGCAGATTCAGAATGCACTGGAGGATCAAAACAGTCCAGCTATCATGTCTCTAGTTCGCACACTAGCGCCCACCTACTGTATATTCTCCATTACACACTTGCAGGAGCAGCCTTGGACCAGTGCAGCCTCCAGAAAAAGAGCTCTGGAACTCTTAACATCAGTAGTGGAATTGACAGGCAGCAGGTCAGTGCAAGAGCTGCTGTCTGGAAAACTTGATGAGGACCAGAAAGGAGTTCTGGGGCCAGTTCTTGACACACTGCAGCTAGAATTAACCAAGTGAGTTTCATAAAGTCACAGCATCTGTACAAAAGCTCTGCAAATTATTTTCCCTACTATGCAGTAGATTTAAGATCTTATATACGATAAGTCTTAATATACTGTATAGTTTTGTGTATACAATTTTCAGTTTTGGGAGTGTGTTTTTTATTATTTGTTTTGGTAACACACTTTATTTTACAGTGTCCTTGTTACATATGCTACATTTACTTACCATAGTAATAACAGTAAATTATGCATAATTACATGCAACTAACCCTCAACTAAATCATAATCCTACCCTAACCCTATAGTAAGAACATGTAGTTGCTTAATATTACTTAGTACTTAAATATATAATTATACTGTAACAATGACACCTTAAAATAAAGTGTAACCTTTGTTTTTTAGCATCAACTGTGAAGTATCAAGGAATTTTAAGAATTGTTTTCCAAGCCTAAAATTGTTTAAATAAATTAAATATTAAAAACATGGGAAAATATAAATGTTTTTTTTCTTACGTTTTCTTAACTCAAAAATATTTTGTTCATAATATTAAATGATTTTTTTGGTAGCACTTTATTTTAGTCCTGTTCCCCGTGTACATGCATACTATGTATTCATTATAGCAATTACAATAACTGGGTTATAACTAGTTACTAATCCTGAACCTACCCCTAAACCGAACCTTAACCAATATAGTGACCTTATATTACTAGTACTTTCTTGGGTAGGCACACTGTAAGTACACATACTGTAAAATAAAGTGTAACCAATATATATATTTTTAATTATCTCAAAAATATTTCATCAGCTAGATAGTGGTGGTCTTGTTTTATTGGTCTTCAAACAACCAATTATTTTAAATAAATTAGTCAAAAAGATTTATTAGAGAATTGGTCTGAATCAAAACAACTTTTTATAATCCATATCCAGTAATCACAAATCACAGGAAACATTGTGGAACAATCATTGGAATTCATTGGTCAAAAACAAGTCAAGTCACCTTTATTTATAGTGTTTTACAGGTTGTTTCAAAGCAGCTTTACAAAAATAAACTGGAAAATAACAATCAATGATGAAAAATCTAATTCTGCTGTAAAGCAGCTCTAAAAAGATGTGTGTCATTATTCAACTCAAGTCAGTTCAGTGTTGATTCAGTTCAGTTCAATAATTGCGCAAAGTTAATCAATTACGAAATGAGTTCAATTCAACTATAAGCAGCTCCACAGAACACAAAAGTGTTGTTATTCTGCTCAATGTCGGACTAAAACAAAGTCGATTCAGCTTTTAGGCAGCTCTGCAGGAGACAATAGTGTCATGATGATCCAGCTCTATTCAGTGTGTGTCAGTAGTCTCAGTACAGTCAAGTCAATAATATTACTGAATATTACGTGTCTTTTAAACTCCAACTAAGAAAGCCTGAGGCAATAGTGGCAAGGAACCCAAACTCCATCAGGTCACAGAAATTGAGAAAAAAAAAACTTATATGCTAGCATGTTAAAATGTATCATGCAAAATGTATTTAATTGCATAACACATATTTAGAGCTGCTTCAGCAGGGCTCAGTGCTGAGGATTGGGTCAGTGGTTCAAATGTTTAGACAGCAGTGAAATATCACAATACTCTATTCCAATTTTGATACTACAGCAAAACTACTAGCCTTATTAATGTAAATTTCAATTCAATTCAAATTTATTTGTATAGCGCTTTTCACAATACATATTGTTTCAAAGCAGCTTTACAGAAAGTGCATTTCAGAAATGTACATAGAAAAATACAGTTAGTTAATCATGTATTAATTTAGGGCATAACATCGCCGGCGTTGAGTCGTCTCTTCACAGGCGTTTAGTCATCTCATCGCAGGTGTTGGGGCATCTGAAGTCTCCGTGAGAGGCTGGATACAAACTGGAGCTGACAAACGCTATTTACCTAACAGCAGAAAAGCAGATGGGAAATAATTAGCATATCTGCTGTTCATAATATTAATGCATTCGATCTGATTCAACAGTGGTTGGTAGCAAAAGGTAAGCATTATGTGAATGCTTGGCTAAAGAGATGCGTCTTTAATCTAGTTTTAAACTGGGACAGCGAATCTGAGCCTCGAACAATATCAGGAAGGCTATTCCAGCTTTTAAAACATTATTTAAGACAAGTAAGCAGTCAGTAATATAATAAGAACAAATAATCAAATTACAAATAGCACAAATAAATAAAATAGAACAAAGAATGGCTACAAATGAAATAAACAGCTGTTTTTTTCTCTCCAGGTAGCTCTAACAGTAGTTGTCAGGTACATCATTTGAATAAACTAATCAAATGTGAAATAATACATAATGCATATTCATCACTCTCTCTCTCTCTCTCTCTCTCTCTCTCTCTCTCTCTCTCTCTCTCTCTCTCTCTCTCTCTCTCTCGTCAGTTAATGTTAGTAATACGTGCCTCGTTTTACCTTTTTCCCATTTACATATCCGACCGAACTACATCTTTCCATTGATGTCTGTGAAAAAGGGATGTGCTCGACAAGCTCACACATCTGTTCAGCTGCGCTCTCAATCCACTGCGCGTTTTTCGCTTATCAGCTCACGCAGCACAGCTATATAGGCGGCATTACTATATTTTGTTTCATATTTCACTAATAGATACATTTACTTCACAGACAGCTTTCTCTTTTATCCCCATTATACTCTCTGTTGTCAGTGTTTCTTTGTCTGGATCATGGGCGAGGCTAGCCCCTTTTTAGGGGTGCTTCAGCACCCCTAAAAAGGAGCTCAGCACCCCTAAAACTTAGAGTAAGAAATAGTGTTATTCAAAAAAATGTGTTCGTCTTTGACAAGGTTAAATAATGTCCAAAACATACTCCGTAGTTTGTGGTTTAAAATGTATGTGTTAAGGATGAAAATGAAAACATCCCCGCTAAGCAAATGGTGTCATCCTCTTCTCTTCTTCTACTTCTCCTCTCGGCACGACCGTCATCCAGCGCGAAACACACGCAGAGTGAGAACCATAGGCGTCACTAGGCCCTTTTTAAACTTCTGCCTAGCCCCCCTAAACATTTGTGATTAAGTGTAGGCTATACACAGTACACACATTCATATTCGCTTCAGTCTTGTTATAATCAGATTCAGAGTTTCCATCTTCAATCCGCAGCAGCGCCAAGCGCTCTGCACGTCAGAAACAGAGGACAGGGTGTGTGTGTGTGTGTGTGTGTGTGTGTGTGTTGTTCATCTGAGCCTCATTGGTATTTCATTGCTCGTCAATGTCAGAATATTTGGGATGACCAATCAAATCAAAGTAGGCGGGCTTTATGTTCACAGTCAGACGCTGCTGAGCGCGAATTTGAGCAGCACGACTGACGCTTCAGTTTACGGTCAAGTGCGAGTTAAGAAAATGTAAGTAGCTAAACTAAACAATTTATATTTGACAGTTTTTTAGGTCATAAATGTTAAAAGAATGACAAAAATAATTAGAAAACTAATAAACTTTTGTCTAATTTCACCATTTAAAGCTGAAAATAGGCCTAAGTTATATAACGTGTAATTATGTCATTGTGAGGGGACAAGAAACATTAACAAAGCCGTTTTCATACAAGATTAATAATCCATGTGTTGTGTACATGTTGAGAATTAATACAATTTGTAGCCTTCAGTAAATTAAAGAAGTTCAGCTTTAGGAGGGGAAGAGACAGGGCAAGATCAGGAGACTGAGAGGAAAAGACAGAGTGATGGAGATGAGGAGAGAGCAGGTTTTAAATCTATTTCTTATCCTTTTTTGGCCTTCAAACGTCTTGAAATGCACATATCAGAGAAATAAAAATGTTTAATCCCATAAGAACTTCAAATTGATGACCTCTTTGATTATAAAGCCCTGTCTACGGACCTGTATTAGGCCTAGATGATCAATAATGAATGTGTACATATTGTGAATGAATTTAATAAACTTAGTTACCTAGCTTTCCTGGTAGCTTTGTCTGAGAAAATGATTCATAAATTAATACAAATCAGATGACCCTATGTTTACTTTCTTCACTGACAGACAAAAATGAAAAGCCTATATCAGTCAAAGCTCAGCTTTAGGAGGGGACAAGACAAAGAGAAAAAGAGTGTGATGCTGATGAGGAGAGAAAAAAAAAACAGCTGCCCGCACATGGTTTTAAAGCTATTGTTATCCAATTTTTTTGGCCTTCAAAACATCTTAAAATGCACATATCTGAGAAATCAAAATTTTCTCGGGGGAGCATGCCCCCGAACCCCCCTATATACCTCACATTCGGCACCTCAGTGATTATAAAACCCTGCTACATGCATGTTACTGGATGAATGAATGTAAATAATGAGCATTAGACCATAAACAAACTTTTTTTTTTCATTCCCTCATTGGGGGCTGAGCCCCCCTAAAATGAAAATCCTAGAATCGCCCCTGGTCTGGATACAAACCCTGTGCACACACTGGCCCTCATTTATCATTCTTGCGTAGAAACGGGCGTATATGTTGGCGTAAGATTATGCTTACACTCCTCTCACCGCCTGATTTATGAAGCTGTGCGTACCTTTGAAATCCAGGTGTACGCAATACCTGCCCTTGATAAATCCCGCGGCTGAAAACGATCGTCATTAGAATAACACGCCCCTATATATTCAAGTCGCCGCTTCCCCCACGCCCTCATTTTACGCCATGTACACACGGAAGACGGCACAGAAGAGAAACTTCACCGACGTGGAGCCGAAATGACCTATCACAATGCATTATTTTACAGCACGTCTTTTGAATTTCGAATCACGTCACATGTATTGGGGTGTACAATAGTGATGATGATGATGTGATGTGGAGTACCATTCATTCACATTAATAATTGCATGACAATTTGTAATATTCTTCTTATTATTATGATTTGTATTATTAATGACGCTGTTATATAATAATGATGTTATTTAGAAGAAGAACGTCGTTATTATTATTTGTATTATTATTATTATTTAAAAGAAGAAGAATGTATTTTTTATTATTTTGTCAGTCTGAATTTTTTTTTGGTCATTGAAAGCCTTTCATTACTGAACCCAGGCCGTGCGCACCTGCCGGGCCTAACCCTGAAACGTCAGGGTAAAGCGCACAGGCTCGCAACTGAAGGAATACATATGGCTACAAATCAAATGCTTTGGTAAAGTCACACAAATTAAACATTGAAGTCCATGTTGCACAAAAATAAACACTGAAGTTTATAATTACTATGTTGTTGTTGCTTTTTTACTGTGGGTCATAATATATCATATCTTTTAGTTTGTCAGTGCGTTTTGTGGTGTTAGTAATTGTTTTTCTGCGCATTTCCGCACTAACTCAAAACGTGCGTACATGTACACCACCTCCTGAGCTAGCGTAGGATTTGAGCGTGCCGTACGTACGCCAACGTCCGTATTGATAAATCTCAAAGTCACCGTGGTTTTGGGTGTACGCCAGGTGTACGCTGGAAATTTGGTGTACGCACTTTTGATAAATGAGGGCCACTGTGTGGTATCGGTTGTTAATATCGGAGCATTTTTATGAGTACGAGCTTAGTATCGGGCCATATACCGATACTGGTATCCCTAATTTTGTCTGTAGTAAACATTCAGATATAGAAAAGAGTGTGAGTCATGTTAATTTTCTGGTCATTGTGTCACTGTAAATGATCAAGTTGCAATTACAAAAGCTTGACCGGAGCATATTTCTGAAAGTCTGCTATTCTTTTTTAAATTACAACACAGAAATGACCCAAGAGCACATAATAATAATAATATGGTATTAAATGCACTCAAGCATGTCCTTTATTCTGTTCAGGGAGAGCTGGAAGCGTAACCAGGCAGTGAAGCATGTGTTCTCCTGGGTGCTGTTTCAGGTTGGACGTCCCTGTTTAACGCAGTATTTGGAGAAGGTGTTTCCGCCATCTTTGCTTATATCTGATGATTATCACACAGAAAACAAAGTATTGGGTGTGCACTGCCTGCATCACATTGTTCTCAATGTGGTAAGTCATTTTTGTAAATATTTTGTCACCACAACTGTCTTTTCATGCAAAAAATGTTCCAGAATCTAAATCTGCCTACAGAGCAGCATTATAAGGCATTATAAAATGCAACATTTAATGAATTCTAGAATTACCTTTGCATTCAAGTAAGCTGCATGAAATAAGCTGATGGCAGAGGAGTAATGTTAAATATGCTGGTAATTCAATAAATAGTTAACACAGCTGTTCCGTTTCGAACGGTCACTTCGTATTGCGTAGCTATACGCAGTGGGGAAACTCCTTTTCCTCGATTTACTGAAACCTATATGTAAAACGCATTTGCAGCTGCACAGCTAGCACACTGAGCGTCTGGCACGCTCATAGGCTGTGCTGCCGCAACTGCACAACCAATGGCGCGGGCGACTCTGACATGCAGCCAATGAGCTAGCTCAACGTCAGAGCCCGTCAAGGGGGTGTGGCTTAGCCTATAAAAGACCCCCGAATTCGCCATTATAGCAGATTTTACTCCTTCAGCGACAGTACACATGTCCCTGAGCTTTTTACTGTGAATTCGCCGTCGAACAAGCCTTTCAGCCTGAGCGAGCTTCTCTTCAGCAGACTTCGCCTGCACGCCGTCGTCTCCTGACGCCGTCTCACCTGTGGCTATCCGGCGACATCCTATATCCTTTCTATTATTGTGTTTGTTTCAGAATGCCTCGTTCATCCTGCGCCACGTGCGGAGGCCGTCTGCACGAGGCAGACCAACACGAGAGCTGCATTTCCTGCTTGGGTGTCGACCACGCGGAGAATGCACTCTCTGTCGGCGGATGTGCGGCCTGCGACTGCATGCCTATCTCCGTGCTGCGCAATCGGCTAGCTCTCTCTCGAGACGGCGAGGCCGCTTCAACCACGCTTTCCATTCCGAGGAAAAAGAAGCGTCGCAGCCAACGGCAACCGGAGGGTTTGGAGATTTGTGAACGCACGCCGGCCGCGTCCCCGCGTGCTTCACTTTCTCCGACTCAAACGCCATCACCGGTCCTGTTCACAGGAGACCAACGCCCCCCCCCACACGTGGCGGGCCTCGTCTCCTTCGGCGGATCTCTCGAGCGCGACGACAGCATATCCATCGCCGCTTCTGAGGACGAATGGCCGGGCTCTCTCGACCCCGTCTCCGCTTCTCAATCTGTGGCCAGTGGATTAGCGACCAGGACGAACTCCGACGCCGAAATGCTTCGGATCCTGACGAAGGCCGTCGCGGACCTCGAGCTAGAGTGGGCCTCGCCCGAGGAGCCGCCTCGTAGTCGGCTAGATGGATGGTTTCTGGAGGGGCGCCAGCAGGCCCCGCGTCACAAACCGGCGCCATTTTTCCCCGAGGTCCACGAGGAGCTAACCAAGGCCTGGCGCGCTCCATACTCAGCACGTGTGGGATCTGCAGTTTCCGCGACGCTCTCCTCCGTGGATGGCGCAGCGGAAAAGGGTTATGAGTCTTTGCCGCCCCTCGAAGAGGCCGTGGCAGCTCATCTTTGCCCGAGCACTGCAGCTAGCTGGCGAGCTAGAGCCGCTCATCCCAACACGATGGCCGTGTTGCAGGTCTACCAGGCCAAACTCCTCCGGTCCATGGACGAGACTGGCCCGGACCCGGAGACCTTTCGAGACCTGAGGAGTGCTACAGACTTAGCGCTGCGTGCTACTAAGGCTACAGCACAGGCCATCGGAAGAAACATGGCGAGCTTGGTCGTGCTCGAGCGCCATCTTTGGCTTAACCTCACCGAGATTAAGGACGCTAGCCGGACCACCCTCGAAAAAACCGGCAAAACTTCCCACAGCTCCCTGTTCAGTTCAGGCGGCTGGGGATTTTATTATTGTAAACAGGCCCGCAGCAGTGAGCGCGTCTTTGCAAACAAACGCCGTTTTCACGGCGACCCAACTAAAGCACAAAAAGAGTATGTTTCACAATCACAACACACGGGTTCACGGTCCCCCTTCACTAGGCGGCCCCCGCCCTGTTGTAAGACTGAAATCCCCCCGGGCAAAAGCCTGTATAATCAGTCAAACACTCAGTATGTGCACAAATCACAGTGTAAGGGTATCAGGTCCCCCTATGTTAGGCGGTCCCCCCCATTCAGTGTGTCAAGCCCTAGCCACACGGGCGATGGCCTGGCAAGCCATCCCTGGTGTGTCGAGTTGGGTCATAAACACTATAAAGCGAGGCTACTCGCTCCGATTCGCTCGCAGACCCCCGAAATTCCAGGCGGTTATCGAGACATCGGTGAGAAGCGGCGTGGGTCACGTGCTTCGCACCGAAGTTCAGAATTTATTAGCAAAAGGAGCGATAGAGTCAGTCCCTCCCGCGCTAATGTATTCGGGGTTTTACAGCCGTTATTTTCTAATTCCAAAGAAAGACGGCGGGCTCAGACCCATACTAGATCTGAGACGTTTGAACAGGGCTCTCATGAGACGGCCTTTCAGAATGTTAACACTCAAACAAATTCTCGCGCAAGTTCGCCCGGGGGATTGGTTTGTTTCAATGGATCTGAAAGATGCATACTTTCATATTCAGATCGACCCTCGTCACAGGCCATTCTTGAGATTCGCCTTCGAGGGGAGGGCATATCAATACACCGTTCTGCCGTTCGGTCTGTGTTTGGCACCCCGTACATTCACGAAATGTATGGATGCAGCGCTCTCCCCGCTAAAAAGCCAGGGAGTGCGTGTGCTGAATTATCTCGACGACTGGCTGGTGCTAGCGCAGTCGAGAGACGAACTAATAGTTCACAGGGATTTGATTCTCGGCCATTTAAAATGCCTGGGTCTCACAATCAATGTGGCCAAAAGCGAACTGAACCCCAGCCAGACTGTGGTCTTTCTGGGCACGGTTTTAGACTCGGTGACAATGAAAGCGCGGCTCACTCAAGAGCGCGCGCTCTCTGTGCAGACACTGGCAGCCGCATTCAGGGCGCGCGAGCGCGCGCCTCTGAAGAGGTTTCAGAAACTGCTTGGTCTAATGGCAGCCGCATCATCAGTACTCCACATGGGATTACTGCGCATGCGCCCGCTGCAGCACTGGCTGAAACGCCGTGTGCCAACCCATGCATGGCAGTCAGGCAGCCTGCGCATTATGGTGAATCACGGGTGTTTAAGAACACTGATTCCCTGGCGGGCTCAGGACTGGTACCGCAAGGGGGTGACCATGGGGATAGTTTCCAGGAGGAAGGTGGTTTTTACAGACGCATCCAACCTGGGTTGGGGAGCGCTGCACGAGGGCAAGCCTGCATCCGGCCTCTGGTCGAGCACGGAGCAGAACTTACATATCAACTGTCTGGAAATGAAAGCAGTTGGTTTGGCCCTGAAAGCATTTCTGTTAAACCTCAGGGGTCACCATGTCCTGGTCCGTACGGACAACATGTCAGTGGTGGCCTACATAAATCGCCAGGGTGGCATCAGGTCGGGCAACCTGCATGCTATGGCGAGGGACCTCCTCCTATGGGCACAGGCCAACCTGAGCTCCCTGAGAGCAGCGCACATCCCGGGCGTCCAAAATCTGGGCGCGGATATGCTCTCACGGGGCAACACTCCCCTAAGCGAGTGGTCTCTGAACCCTCAGACGGTCAGTCTGATATGGGAGAGATTCGGCGAGGCCGAAATCGACCTTTTCGCCTCGAGAGCCAACACCCACTGCAGGGTGTTTTTCTCGAAGAACAACCGCCCCCTTTATGCTTTCCCCCCCATCTCGATGGTCCCACAAGTCATTGAACGGGTCAGGGAGAGCGGATGCCCAGTCCTTCTGGTGGCTCCTCTCTGGAAATCCAGACCATGGTTTCCGGAGCTGGTTCAGCTGTCAGACACGGTCCCCTGGCCCGTTCCAATGAGGAGGGACCTCCTCACACAGGCCAAAGGGACGATATGGCACCCCCGACCCGATTTATGGGCCCTCCATGTGTGGCCCCTAAACGGGTACCCGGGGGCCTTCCTGACAAGGTCTTAAGCACTATCTCTGAGGCAAGGGCCCCGTCTACTAGGCGTCTTTATGCTTTGAAGTGGTCGGGTTTTTCCAGCTGGTGCTCGAAAAATCGAGTTGACCCAGAGTCATGTGAGGTATCGGTGGTACTCTCCTTCCTGCAGGAGCTACTGGACGCGGGCCGCACCCCGTCCACGCTCAAGGTTTATGTGGCAGCCATCGCAGCGCATCATGCGTTGGTGGCTGGTCAATCACTGGGAAGAAATGACCTGGTGGTAAGATTTCTGAAGGGCGCTAGGAGAATTAACCCCTCCAGGCCCCCATCAGTACCTCCCTGGGACCTCTCCACGGTCCTCAGGGCCCTGAAGGGGCCGCCTTTTGAACCGCTCCGGTCGGTGGATCTAAAACCACTCTCGCTTAAGACTGCTCTCCTGTTGGCATTGGCATCTATCAAGCGAGTGGGAGATCTGCAGGCCCTTTCTGTGAGTCCGGCATGTTTGGAGTTTGGAGCGGATGACTCCAGAGTCATTCTCAAACCCAGGCATGGTTACGTACCCAAGGTGCTCTCAACGCCGTTTAGAGTGCAAGTTATCACGCTATTAGCCCTTCCCCCTTCTGCTGAGGATGGGGAGGTTAATCCTCTCTGCCCTGTCAGGGCGCTGAGAGTCTATCTGGAGCGTTCTGCGTCTTTTAGACAGTCAGAACAGCTGTTTGTCTGCTTTGGTGGCCGATCTAAGGGTGGTCCAGTTACCAAGCAAAGACTGTCTAGATGGATAGTGGATGCCATTTCTATGGCTTATACTTCAGTGGGTCAGGTTTGCCCTATAGGTGTCAGGGCCCATTCGACTAGAGGCATGGCCTCGTCATGGGCTTGGTCATCTGGGTTTCCCATTCAAGATATTTGTGATGCGGCCGGCTGGTCCTCGCCTTCCACATTTATGAAGTTCTATAATATGGAGGTGCCTTCCCTGCAGGCGAAGGTTCTTTCAGTATGATTAAGACTCGATGCTGTCTGGTCTTGTCTACAAAAAATTACTGTGCATAATCACATACATATAAAACCCGCTTAGGCCGGTTATGAATTGTATTAATAATCCCGACAGTGTCGGGGTTTGTTAGTATATTCTGTTGGTTGTTACTGACTCTTATATATTATTCAGGCCTGACAGTGTCTGGTCTGTTATATATATATATTCATATATTGGGTTCTGGCTTGTTCTGTTAGCTCAGGGGGCCTGAGTTGCAGTGCAACCAGTTACTAAGGGTGCGGTGTTTTACAGGGCGTCCCCACTGCGTATAGCTACGCAATACGAAGTGATCGTTCGAAAGGGAACTACTCGGTTACTATCGTAACCTCAGTTCCCTGAGAGAGGGAACGAGTATTGCGTAGCCGGCCGCACTTAGTAGCTGGTGAAGTTGTCGCTTCAGTCGTATAAACCTGCTATAATGGCGAATTCGGGGGTCTTTTATAGGCTAAGCCACACCCCCTTGACGGGCTCTGACGTTGAGCTAGCTCATTGGCTGCATGTCAGAGTCGCCCGCGCCATTGGTTGTGCAGTTGCGGTAGCACAGCCTATGAGCGTGCCAGACGCTCAGTGTGCTAGCTGTGCAGCTGCAAATGTGTTTTACATATAGGTTTCAGTAAATCGAGGAAAAGGAGTTTCCCCACTGCGTATAGCTACGCAATACTCGTTCCCTCTCTCAGGGAACTGAGGTTACGATAGTAACCGAGTAGTTCATGTACCCTTAAAGATTGTAGTCACTTTGATTTTTCACAATCAACCATATTTCTGAAACTTAAATGCCAACGGTGACAGTTCAAAAATAGGAAAAAGCACTTCTTGTGTTTTTTGCCCGAAGTTTGCATGTCTGTAACCCCAGAAGTTTTAAAGATAACTTAATATCCTTTTAGATTCTGTTTTTTAACAAACATTTCTTTAGATATCTTCATTTTAAAGGGCCTATATGGTTAAAACCCAGAGATATACAGTTCTTAGTGGGGTTCCATGAGTCGATTGGTAAATCTTACACATTTCTAGTGGTTGAAAAGCAAATGTGGGTCACTCTGCATACAGCTGAGCTGATACTTTTTTCTTTTAAAGAGGAATATCTGAAGAACAAATAATGTGTATCGTTTTTTTTCTATCAAGTTGCATAGAATATACCTGTCTGAGTGCCTTTTTCCAAAGTTTGTGTGCCTGTGTACCCATTTTCAATGGTCGAAAAGCAAATATGGTTCACTTTTACATGATACTTATTCCATTTAAAGGGGAATGTCTGAAGAATAAATAGTTGAAACTAGAATTTATCTTGTTTCCCTCTATCAAAACAATTGCATACAACATACCCATCTGAGTGAAAAAAATACACAGAAATGGTCAAGTTGAGGCACATTAACTTGCTTTCAAAAGTGTATTTATACAAATCTATATTTGAATCAGTTTCAGAGATAATTGGAAGTAGGGTTTTTCCTCTATTTTAACAGCTTCTGAGAGTTAAAAAATGCAGTATCGTAACTACATGTTACCACATTGACATCCCAATATCTCTTGAACCATATAGGGCCTTAAAAATTTAAATAAAATAAAATAAAACAAAATTTAAGAATTAAAGCCGTACAAACTTTGGGAAAAGAGTATTCATGGCACTCAGACAGGTATATTCTATGCAATTGTGTAAATTGCATTAGTTTCTTGCATTTTTACTTTCATCATTATTTACCACTGAAAATGTGTACAATTTAACAAAGATATCCACATCGCTGGGATTGAACCATATAGGGCCTTTAAAATATTCATAACAAAAGAAAAGTTTGATAAAAGCAAGAATCTAAAAGGATATTAAGATATCTTTAATACTTGGGACAAAAAACACAAGTGGTTTTTCCCATTTTTGAACATTGGTATATAATGCAACAAAGATTTCTAAAGTTGACAGATTGTTCTAATAGACCTACCAATCTCTGTGTAAAAATAAAATATTGATGCTGCCATCTTTCTAGTGTCATGATTTTTACCCCACTGTAATTTCGGCTCCAAATCTCAAGTGAAAATCTCCACAAAATAGTGGATTACTCATACATTCAAGAAAATACTTTGGCTTTCCTCTTTATTTATACATTTCTTTCACCAGATTTTTATTTTATTAAAATAATTTTTTTAGCTGTGGACCACTTGTTGAGTTGACATGGAATGACCCTTTAATAATGTGCTCCTGACATTCATAAGAGAGACATCAAACCCTGGAGAACATTATAAGTCATTGTATTTTTTTTAATTGACAAGTATATGATGTGTGTTAATTTGTCTTTCTCCTTCCTTAGCCTGGTGCTGATCTGAGGCAGTTCAACAGAGCTCAGGTGCTCTATCATGCTGTATTCAATCACTTACACACATCTGAGGCCACACTTATACAGGTGATGCTTTCACATGTGCTTACTTGAATGCAGATGTGTGGTTTTCATTTTTAGATTAGGTTATGTATCTCGTCTTTTTTGTATTATCTTCAGGTTGTGCTGCCCTGCCTTATAGACTTGCTGTCAGTCCTTGAGAAACCTCCAGCCCTTGCAGGTACACGGCGTAAACAAAATCGATTTGACAATATGCTCCGGCACGTGTTGACATACATGGAAATGGAGCACAAGCTTGACCTTCGTCGTGTATATGCCAGAAATCTTGTCTTACTGATTGAAAGGTGAGGACTAAATTATTAAGGTAGCCATCTCGATATTAGTTGTTTCAATAATTGGTTCCTATTATATGCAGCACTTGCTAATAATTGTTGTCAAACATACGCCTTAGAAATTACTTTCTATTTTGGCTGATGTCATACAGGTTGCTATTTGGTTAGTTCACCCAAATATGAAAATTCTATCATCATTTACTCACCGTCATGTTGTTCCAAACCCATAAAACCTTTGTTCATAAACAGTATTTTTAATATTTTCTAAATCATTCTTGTCCATCCATTGAAAGTTTCCTTTTTTTGTGAGTGACTAGAAAAATTTGGGTGAAAATTGCAGTATAATAATGAATAATAATTTTTCGTGCACATTTAGAATATTCTTAGCTAGATTTGCGTAATTGTGATAACATTGCTCATCTTTAGATACTTTTATGTTCCAAGTTGTCTGTCATTTATTATTTCATGTTGTTATCTTAAAGGATGGGTATAGTAATTATTCGTCACATGAAAAGGCTGGAGAGGGTGATTGTTGGCTATTTGGAAGTCTCGGATGCTCCAGAGGAGAAATGCAGACTGAATATCCTGGAGGCTCTGCAAAAGACTCTACAGATTGCTTGGCCATGGTGACCACTATACATCACCAATGCTTCAGTGCGACTACATGAAATTGACTTTTTAATTCAGTTCTGAGATTATTTCACTCTCTTCTTGTATGCTTATGTCAGATGTATTTTTGCTTAATACTCTAAAACACAATGTTTTTTTGTTTTTATATGTATCTCTCTAGTATGGAGAAGAGGATGGGTTTGCTAACTCAGAGTCTTCTGAGGTTTCTGGTTGACGTCTCATCAGACTCATTACCCACTCAGCTGAAAGAGCACCTCATGACCGAAGCATCCCAATGTTTACTGCTGCTCAACCACTGCTCAAAGGGAAAACTACAGGTGAGAATATCGATTCTTAATTTTGTGAAATCTTGTGATTATAAAAGGACCAACTTCAACCAGAGAGTCATCCTGTACTTGTGTTCAGATAAAAGTTGATGAAAATTAAAAATTATAAACCGTTATATTAATATCAATGTATAAGCCTAATCTACTTTATAAGGGACTAATTAGAATTTACTAAGCTTCTGAGATCTTGTTCTTCTGATAGATATTGCATGCAGTTTCTACATATATTAAATCCACTTTCCCATTTTCTCCTTGCCTTATTTCACACTTTTTTTAGACTCTTCTGAGAGAGATAGACAGCAGTTGTGTCCCTGATGCTGTGTTGATGTGTATTCAGAAAGTAACTGCAGCACCACTGTGTCAATAAGCTGTAAGCTGGCAATAATACTTGCCCCTTTTCCCATTTATGGAGGTGAAGTTAGCGGAGTAAAATCTGTAATAAAAAATACTGTAATACACTCTGTGTTTGGACTATCCAAGGGAACTGTTTATACATATTTGAGAGAGCGAGAGAGAAATAAAATAAAGCTAAAACAACCTGACTTGAGAGTTGATTTCCTCCAAAGTCTTTTCTCAATTACCTTTTAAATAAACATTTTGAATAAACTGTACTTCTTGTTGTACACAGCCATGTCTCTTTTAAAATGACCATACTAAATGCAGGTGTTTGTCCTTAGTAAATGCATTCGTAAATACAAGTTATACTTTTGTTCTAAATTACTTCAGGTAACCTTTAAATAACATATTCATTCTAATGTGTCCAATATAGTTTTCAAAGACCTGGAAAGTGCCTTCCATTAGCATCCCCATTCATTCCAGTCAGTGGCATCTGTATGGTTAGTGCAGGTTACCTAAAAGTACATTTTTGTTCATAGTGCTTTGTTCTGGTATTGGGTGTCGCATGCCTTGCTGATCATGTTTTCTCAACTGCATAAATTAAATGTCAACCAACTCATCACTACAAATTCAATAAATATATACTGTATATACCAGTAGGAAAAATAATTATTTGATCCCCTGCTGATTTTGTAAGTTTGACCACTTAAAAAGAAATGAAGGGTCTATCATTTTTATGGTAGGTTTATTTTAACGGATAGAGACAGAATATCAACCAAAAAATCCAGAAAAACACATTATATAAAGATTGTAAATTGATTAGCATTTGATCGAGTGAATTAAAGCAACACTAAGTAAGATTTTTTACCTTAAAATAATGTTTTCAAAATCGTTTCAGTGGTTCATCAAGTCGTGACATGGTCAAATGCACTTATGCCACCGCTTTGCGGTCCTTTATCTGATATATCCACGCTATGTAAGATTGCCAGATCGGGTCGCGTTCCTGCAGTCCGAATGAGACATAAGAAAACTACAAATTTGACTTGCTTTACGGCAAGCGTTACAATTGCCGATAGGTGGAGCGTACACGACAGTAGACTACAACTACATGTAAGATACCTAGCAGCCGGGTAGCTTTTGAATTGTCATCATGATTCCAAAGCCGGTGCTGGATAAACAGAGAGCATGTGCGTGCGTGCGTGTGCGACAGTAGGATGCGGTAGGCTAAATTATTTACGACAGCAGTAATGGACAATTCCGCTTCCAACCTGTAGGGCGACCGCAGAGGAAAAGTTACTTGGTGTTGCTTTAAGTATTTGATCCCCTACCAACCAGCAAGAATTCTGCCTCCCACAGGTTGTGCCCATGTGGAACAGATTAGCCCTGTCACTTTAAGAAAGTACTCCTTAATGTCAGCTCTTAATGTGTATAAAAGACACCTGTCCACAGAATCTGTATCTTCCATTCCAACCTCTCCACCACCATGGGCAAGACCAAAGAGCTGTCAAACGTCAGGGATCAGATTGCAGACCTTCACAAGGCTGGAATGAACATCTAATCATCTAATCATTTTTTGGTCAGAGAAGGCTTGGGAGAAAGTGCTGTGGTCAGATGAGACCAAAATTGAGCTCTTTGGCATCAACTCAACTCGCCGTGTTTGGAGGGAGAGAAATGCTAACTATGACCCCAAGAACACCATCCCTACAGTCAAGCACGGTGGAAACATGCTTTTGGGCTGTTTCTCTTCTAAGGGTACAGGACGACTTCACCTTATTGAGGGGCTGATGGACGGGGCCATGTACCGTCAAATCTTGGACGAGAACCTCCTTCCTTCAGCCAGAACACTGAAGATGGGTCGTGGATGGGTGTTACAGCATGACCCAAAACATACTGCCAAGGCAACAAAGGAGTGGCTCAAGAAGCACATTAAGGTCTTGGAGTGGCCTAGCCAGTCTCCAGACCCTAATCCTATAGAAAATCTGTGAAGGGAGCTGAAACTTCGAGTTGCAAAGCAACAGCCAAAGAAACCTTAAGGATTTAGAGAGGATCTGTAAAGTGGAATGGACCAAAATCCCTCCTGAGATGTGTACAAACCTGGTGACCTACTACACTGAGGTCTAACCTGAGTACTTGGTGGAGAAACATTTGTTGCCAAGCACAAAGGCATGTTTTGCTTGGGGATCCAATACTTATTTCACTTACTGAAATGCAAATCAATTTATAACCTTTATATGATGTTTTTCTGGATTTTTTGGTTGATATTTGTCTCTATCTGTTAAAATAAACCTACCATAAAAATGATTGACCCTTCATTTCTTTGTAAGTGGGCAAACTTACAAGATCAGCAGAGGATCAAAAATTATTTTCCTCACTGTATATATATTGCACAGTGGATACTAGAGGTGCTCTAAGGAGGGACGTTTCTTCTACTATTTTTTCCCCACTTGTTTTGTTGCTCCTCCCTCTTAACGGAGATATTTAAAAAGGGCCACTAAATCCTGCAATCTGCCATAATACTAACAGCAGTGCAGTTTTTAATAAAATCATAAGCATTGATCTTTTTTTAGAGCCCCAAATTATCTTGAGCATGATAAAAATTTCTAACAATGGTGGTACTTCAACATTGTGCAATGTTTAGAGAATAACCAATGGTTTCTTTTAGATGTAAAGGATTTTGCTCTTATGTCATTGGTCTGAGTAACTTTTTTACTCAGGGATTTCACTAAATTTTTTCTTTGTAATAAATGCTTTGAAAGTATGTGTACTTGTCTTACTAACAGCATTTTCACTGGAGGCATTTTTGACTGTTTAAATGTTTTCTAGTGATCTGCAGTGTAATTGCTGGTGGGTGTATGAGATGTAAAAGATGATCAAATAAAACATGCATTCAAACACAACACAATACTTAATGTATAAATGTTATGTTTTTCCCATTAGAACACCGGCTACAGTCAAACTAACAGGCACTAAAATATACAGCACAAATAAAGTTTATTATTGCATGAATATGGGTCAAATTTGACCCAAAAGTACACAATGGAACATCATAAAACAAAAACTGATGCTTTGCAACAGCATAAGCACAGATGAAAGAGGTCAACAATCCCACCACACTAGAGATTTTGATTATTGTACATTGTTATTAAATGTAGGTGTAGTAAAAGATCATGTTCCATGATTTGGAAATGTTCCACAAGGGAGCAGAGTTACAACTGTTGGTGTGCACATCAGTTTAGTCTCTAGGTGGCCTTGCTTTTCTGAGCTGGTTCTATCTCTTGTTCATATTCTATCTCCACATAGGCCCGTTTTTTCCTGATTGGGCCTTTGAGTGGAGCTTTTCCTTTCGTTTTGGCCTTGCTCTTTTCCTCCAACTCTTCCTCACTGGATTCCTCTTCATCATCATCCTCTTCCTCATCACTGCTTCCCTTCAGGTTGTTCATATCCTGTAAAACAAAATCAGGATTTAGATAATGTCACTCTCAGATATTATATCATATTTTTTTGTGTAACATTTTACATCTAAATTACCTCAAAATCACTGAGATCACTCTCTTCAATCTCATCCTCAGCAATAAATTCTCTCGTCCCAGACACCTGAAAGACAGAAAAAAAACTACTTGGCCAACACAGGGATAAATTAAATATTAAAATAAAAAGTCATTTTAAATTATAATAATATGATGTAGCCTTGGTGAACATAGGACTTTATTTTTTGAAAGTCAAACACATGAAAAGATTTCACCACCTCCAAACTTTTGAAAAGTGGTGTACACTGTCAAGTAATAGACATACAAGTAATAAAAACGCTGCTGACAGGAAATAAAGTTAATACCTCTTCGTCTTCCTCTTCCTCTGATTCACTCTCCTCATCCTGTTTTTCCAAAGCTTTATCAAAGGCGTGGATGGGGAAGTTGTATATGTCTCCATACTAAAATGAAAAAGGAAACTTTAAATGGAATTACTGATCTGGCACAAAACCAGGAAAAGCATGTGCCAAAGATCCACGTACTGTTCCTTGTTTTAGACGGTCTAGCAGTTCTTTTTCTATAGCATTTTCCAGCTGAGCAGCAATAAGGGCTTTTTCCTGTTGGAGAGAAGGAAAAGTGAGTAAATAACACTCAAATTCAATTCCACATTTGATCCCTAGAGTTATTTTAAATAAGGGCACCCCAGAGGGGAAGGAAACTCAGCTAAGTCTGTATAAACACTCAAACTAAATAAAAATACAGGATATAAAAAAATATTCAGAATTGCATGCATCATCAATAAATCCTCACCTCCCTCCTCTTTTCTCGTCTCTCTACTTTTCTACTGAGTGGAACCAGTTTTCTCCTGGATACAAAAAAGGCACCAGTAAGAGATAATATACATGGTCAGCCAGGCAATGAAATTACACAACTGTTCAACTTTTAATTACATTTTCTAAAGAAATTAATACTGATCAAAGGTTCTTGAACACCAAATAAGTATATTATATTTATTTCTTAAGGACCATGCGACACTGAAGACTGCTGTAATGGCTGCTGAAAATGTAGCTTTGCCAAAACAGGAACATATAACATTCTAAAATACAATAAATATTTTAAAGCTGCAGTCCGGCGTTTTTTCTCTTTGTCACCATCTCTGTTCGAAATCTGCAATTGCAGTCATTCGCAGAATTATCAAATCTCCACCTCCAACATCCTCACACGCAATATAGAGGGTATGCGCATGACGTCACCGTCGGCCGGAGTGAATGCGGTCACGCCCACAAGTGGCAAAAAGACTGAGCGGCAGCATTTGTTTTCAGCGTGAATGCCGTGAAAAACACACAAAACACATCTAAAACGGGAAAGAGCTTTGCGATTGACTGTACAACTAGATTTGACCAGAAATCTGAGGTACTGTATATTTTTACAGACTGCAAAAAGCTACAGAACAGACTATATTCTGCATAATTGGATGTTTTTAAATAAACACTGACAAAAAACTATACAAGTGTTAGGGCTGGACGATATGATGATATACAGTATAACATTAATGTAAGTGATCACTCGGATTTAGACCTATCTATATTGTATTTATATAAAACGTTTACAGGCAAATTTTCTTCATTTATTTCCCCGGCGTCGAAATCAGGCACATATAAATGTCAGGAAACACGATTCCTGGCTGCATGTCAATATCCATGGATCACTGGATCTTTGATAAGTTGTAAGGAACACTATATCGAGTCCAACTTTTAGTTTAAACTGATAATAGTTTGTTTTACTCGCGTTAACGCAGTTTCCCCTATTAACTCCAGTCACGCAGCAGCTCTTCTGCCACTCAGTCCCGCTGAGGGGGGCGTGTTCCGGCGGGGAAGTGACGTTAATGCATTCCCTCTATAGCCAACTAGCCGAGACTCCTTTATGTGTACAGATGTGACGTAATGAAGCAAAGACATGCTCGAATCCCCCGCGGAAATCCACCAGTACCACTGTAATTAAAAACATTATTACAAGCTTACCGCTTTGAATCGAGCTAAGGCAAGCAGATAGTTTTGAACACTGGCTGGTTATGTATTTTGGATCATTTTTAACCCCCCAAAAAAGCTACGGACTGCAGCTTTAAATTGTAATAATATTTTACAATATTACTGTACTGTAGTTTCAATCATAAGCCAAAAAGAAGCGAGTTATTTCAGAAACATTAAAAATATTATTTTGAGCTGAAATTATTTGATGTGAGAAGAGAGAGATCATAAAATGACACAATGCAACTAGATAGCACAACATTAGCAGCACTGCACTACTGGTGCACTGAATGCAGCAATTGAACTGAAGAAAGCTACTCACTGTCGTTTCAGTGTGAGTTTGCGGATTCTAATGAGATACTGAGTGATCTTTGTCAAGCGCTGTTTGCACTTGTGTCTGATGTACCGCGGCCAATAGATAAGGTTCTCATCAATCTGTTCCAAAGCCTTCGCATAGTTTCTATCAAGTTTCACCTGAGAAAAAGTTAAAGTATAGTAGCATGAGCATAATAAACATTTCAATGTGAATGATATCAAATGATCCATTCTTGCTCGTTTTGATCCTCATACCTTCTCCCACATGCGAGCAGGGAATGCTGCTCTCTCAATTACTTTCATGTAAAGATAACACTGGCCTAATGAAACGGAACAGTTGCAATGATCAAGAAATACATTTTCAGAAACATTTTGATTACGTTTGAAGTTCATAGGTTTGCAAAAACGTTTTTAAAACGATTAGCATACCTTTATCCTCTCTTACAGTTGCATACTGACTGTTGGCAAGAGGACACGATGAACGATTGCAAAGGCCTGTGATGTTGTATTCGTTTCGACAAAACAGTTGAGTTTTCGTTCTTCAACGACAAGAAATCAAAAAGTTAGATGTCATATTCTTCCACAATTTGAGGAGTGGACATAAAAAGAAGAAAAACAATTAGAAGAAACAATCACATATACTTACTTTACTTTGTAGGAACAAAAACTCTTACTGCCGATAAGGTCCCATATAACCTTTAAAAGAAAGATGATTCAATATCAAGGATTATGTTCAACAACGTAAAATAAACTATTTAAAGGCCATTCCTTTATCAATTACAACGACCGGTGTTTACTGCTAAAACAGAAACACAACCTATGAAATAATATTTTGATAATATTTTGTTTTAATTATTACTGGTTCAGTAAAATTATCATTAAATTCATCCGGGTTGATTGAATATACATTGAAAATATTGTATATGTAAATTGTGCGTTATATTTTCATTCGCTTTTCTTGTAGCGCTTTACTTACGTCGTCGTGTTGCATTCTGACAGCTTGTTTGAACGGTCGTCACTTTGAAAGTTGTGTACGTTACTGTACGTAAGTTTAGGCACCTTTACGTAAATATCAGCGCTAATTTGATCCAATGAAACTAACGTTAAAATGTTTCTAATAGCCCAATCGACTGTGATCACACAAATACCACATGGAAGTTACAGGCGGCAGCCATGTTACCAGTGTACCAGGAATAGTCTTCTTCTTGTATAAAGGCGATCCACTCTTTAGGAGCAATGTCGCCATCTACTGTACTGGAGAACAAATAGTATTTATTGCATGGGTTCATGAGGTTTAAATTTCCTTGGACCAATCAGAGCTCATGTTAGTCTAAATGAAAAAAAAAATGGAAAAAAAAAATACAATACTAAAATAAGATGCCACAATACACATATATTTACTATACAAGGAAATTATATAAAATGCAGTTTCATTCATCACACATCACATAGCCTAACCCATTTTCACGCAAACCCATTTTCATGCAAACCCATATTGTTTCATAGTGCCAGTGTTGATTTCAACCCTGTGTGACCCAGTCTTAGACAGTAGGCTAATTAGTGTGCAATGCGCGTGACGTCTACGTTCGTCAATAAATAAACTGCACGTGTCTTGCGGAAGAACATTGTAGACGGAACTTCTCTCCGTTAATGTCTATGGTGAGTCACGCAGGCACTGGGCTACTCCGCAGCCGAGACGACCCCGGGATAAAATAGTCCGAATATAAACACTTATTATAGGCTTACCGTAGTGATTCAGAATAAGTCAAAAACACGGTTTGGAAAATGGATTCATGATGTAGCCTACTCGTTCATTTTGAACATAAGTTACGGACTGCAGCAGCTGATACAACGGCGTTCTGTTGCTCAAGCGTCCACTCGCACAAATGCAACCACATAACATTTTAACTCGCACATTCTCAAATTTGGTCGCAGTCTGGAACCCTGTATAAAATCAAGATAAAATGTTAAGTCAAGTCAAGTCACCTTTATTAATATAGTTCTTTTTACAATACAGATTGTTGCAAAGCAGCTTTACAATGATAACAGGAAATGAATTCAACAAAGATTGTTTTGACTGTACAGCAGCTCTAGAAGAAATTCAGTGTCCAGTTTAAGTACCGTTAAGTTCAGCGTTGATTCATTTCCATTGTAATAATCATTAGTTATTAATTTAGGGGCATTCACACAACATCGTTTTCAACTGAAAACCTTTAATGCGTTAAAGCCATTCATATACACGACAGCGGCGTTTTGGTGGCTTGAGAACGCAAACTTTGAAACGGGTTTCAAAGTGCACGTTTTTGAAAACGAAACCGTTATCATGTAAAAATTGTATCATGTAAGAATGTAAATAGGGTCGGTTTTGATTTCATTGTTTAATGTCTGCATTTCCCACAGTTCTTTGTTGTCTTTCCGCAACCTAATGCTGTTTCTAATTAAAGAAGTCTACCAATAACATATACCCATTATGTGGTCTGCATATGTTGCTAGCCCTTCTATTAGCACAACTGTGCCATTGTTCACTCGTTTTGGTGTTATTCATTAGGGCTAAATTCACTGCATGCCGTACAGGACACAGGCTGGGTGTTTTCCACACTGTCATTGTCTATGGATGGATTCCTGTGAGATTTTATTGTCACCTTTGACATTGGGGTGACAACCACAATGCATTTGGGTGAACTTTCTGATAGTGGCTCAGCATTTATGTAAGCAGAGAGCATATTTGTTTATGAAGGAAACAGGAAAAGCTATTTATTTTATAAAAAATAAATAAGCTAATTAGATTTTGGGGAAGATCAAAAGTTTAGTTGAAACTTGGAAGTGGCTAGGCCTACGACTTACCACTCGCTGAGTAATGTTTTAATGTTTTGTTATTGGAAACGTGCGCTCACTGATTAGAGACGTGTAGATGTCTACTTCACGTGTCTCCACAAACAACTTGAAAGGGAAACTTTCATACAAGTTTATTTGTTTATTTGTGTTTGTACAAGCATACTTTGATTATAGACTCGGACGTTTATTTTATTATTTTATCTAAAGTGTGTAATTTCTGCACCCCTAGCAAACAGAATGACAAAAAATATTTTCTATTCCCTCCTTGGCAATTTATCCTTCAATTTATCCTTCCTACTGTCTGTGCATCTTTCTGTGTTACTATTGTCCCATCTTATTTGCTATTTATTCATTTACTTTTTCCTTTTAAAATCGATTTTGCCTTGTTCTTTCCCAGGTACTTTAACACCCACCTCCCTCTTTTTTATAGTGCTTTTTCATATTCATATTCAATAGGAATACCGCTTATATCACTTTTATTCCCAAACCTAATAAAGACTTCAATACACCTAAACATAATAAAGACTTAAAAAGTGTGCCAACTTCAAAGTGTGAACATCCTTCAGAAAATACACGAAGGTTGATAAATGTAATTAATTATTTTTTATAATAACTCTATGCCTAAAAACAAACCACCTTTCTTAATAGCATCACCAGATGCATAAATAAATATATAAATAAATAAAGCATTTGACAGGGTGGAGTGGTCATTTCTCTTATCCACACTTCTTCATTTCAGTTTTAAAACACATGCTGTAAATCTCCAGTAGCCTGGGAGCAAGTCGTTGTTTTGCAAGTCTTAAAGTCCCCGTGAACCGGAAGTTGCAAACGACTTTTCTCCAGTGTTGTGACGTATTTCCGAGAGAAACGGAATACTAAATGAGGCAAAATGGTGGGCGTGGCTTTTTTTCCCAACTAGCACCTGATTGGATCTAGAAAAGTAGGTGTTTTCATTCAGCCTGTCAACTGTCAGTTGGAGGGGCGTGATTACGGATGTTAAGAAGACGCCCAAACCGTGAAACCTACGTCATCAGGCAAGGTCCTCCAACGCAGAGGGGAGGGGAAATTTCAGATTTTGATTAAAGATTACGAAGCCAAAAAATTTTTTTGTGTGGATTGACTTGCATGGATGAATTGTTCACCACAAAACGATCAATTTAGGCAAACAAAGTAAGTATGGTCAATTTTGAATTCATGGGGACTTTAAGAAAGTCTCAAGTCTTTGCATTCAAGTCTCGAGTCAAGTCCCGAGTCGGGATTGGCAAGTCCCAAGTCCCAAGTCAAGACAGGTGAGTTCAAGTCAAACTTTAAGCTCATAGTTTTAAACAAGTCATTAGTGCTCTTTGCCCAAATTAGTGTCTCAGTTTAAATTGCTATAGTAAATACCGGTATTACTTTATTAATATATTTATTTTCCACTTCATTTCATGTTTTTTTTTACCCAATTAATGTTCTGTATTATCTATTTTAATATTTAAAGTACCATATATGTTTTTTAAATACTGTAAATTCCTTACAATCCTACCAGTTCAGCCACTATATATGACTGTATTTCTGCAGGCCTAAGTGGCAATAAATGAATCCACTTCACTTTATGGGACTTTAAAATTTTTATTATAATATTTTATTTCAGTTAGGCTAGTTATTAATAGTCGTAGTAAGTATAATTATATAAGGGGTATTTCTTTGAGGAATGAATCAGTGATAGTGAACGAATCGTCCACATCCACTGTTTCATTTAGATGTTTTTAACTAATCAGTTCTGACTCGCTAATATCACGTAAAACAGACGCTCATGTAAATTAGTATAAATTTACCATAGCAATTTAAACAGAGCAAATGCGTAGGACCCTGCAGGCTTGAGGGGCCCCATGCTGGCCAAAAATAGTTCACTGAATTGATGACTCCTTTTGACATAATTTATTACCAGGCGGCCTGGATAAGTAAAAAACAAACATTAAGCATATCATTAAGCACACATATCCAAGCAGCACTCACAAAAGAAAGAAAACAGAAGAGGAAATCGAATAAGGAAATGCTTGCCAAAGCTTACCATTTTTTTTTTTCGCCGGAAAAATCAAAATGAAACATTGAACGAGGCGGAAGAACCAGCACGGTCGCACAATGACCACTGCACCAGTTACATTTGCCAGCCACTGGTTTGTGAATCGAAAATCGATTAAAATTCTAAGGTCAGGAATCGAATACTTGTTGTAAATTTAAATATCTATTCCTCTTATTGATCCCTCTAGTGCTCAAATACAAATTCTATTGAAGTTTTTTTCCAGCCCGATCTCATGAAAGTGCGTATCAATACCACGAATGTTATTTCTCGCGCCATTTATACGCCAAAAATGGTTTTTGCGTGTATATGATACGCAGTTTTCGCGTGCATATGATACGCACTTTATGGCGTGTAATACGCACGCACCCGCCTACCCCCCTCCCCCTAATCCTACCCAAGGGGTTTTCTGTGCGTAGCATATGCACGCAAAAACCATTTTTGGCGTATAAATGGCACGAGAAATAACATTCGTGGTATTGATACGCACTTTCGTGAGACTGCGTTGTTTTTTTCGCATCTTCTTGAGCTTGAACGATTGAACAAATACACACAAAAATGTCAAAACATCCTAGTAAAAATACTGTTTTTGACTGAATAATTTGTGTAGCTTTAATAAGGATTAATCTAGGCTAGGCGTATATATTTTATTTATGAAAAAAATGCTGTGTTATTTTAGTGTTCATATGCTGTGTGCATAAGACTAACATGACACCTTCATAATCATAACATGACACATGTCATGAATAGGAAGGAGGTTTTATGCATGTTTATGACAACTTTCATTAAGTGTCATCCGCTCAATTATGACATTTTAATGCAAATGTGACATTGTTTGAGATGTCTTTGTAACGACAACTTGACATAAACCAATACGTCATAACCTGTCATTGTCTTTGTCATGACAACTTGACATAAACCAATACATCATAACCTGTCAGTGTCTTTGTCATGACAACTTGACATTACTAAGACAACACAATCTGTCACAAATATGTCATAAACATGACATAGCAGATTAATTATCAAACTTAAGAAACCACTTAGCTTTTAATGGCCTCATGACAGCCAATGTCAAAACCAACCACATGACAGTTTAATGTAATGTTAACCCATACAGTTAAGTGGTTTCTTAAGTTTGATAATTAATCAAAAAAGTTTATGACATTTTATGACAATTTATGTTGTCTTGGTAATGTCAAATTGTCATTACCAAGACATTGACAGGTTATGATGTATTGGTTTATGTCAAGTTTTTGTCATAACAAA